CAACTGTTAAAAAATCAATTATTTATTTACCAGTTCCACATAAATTATAAATGACAGTGCTATCTGTGAGAATTCTTTATGCAGCAATGTGAAGTGCTGTGTGGAATATCTCCTGGTTTAAATTCTCTCTTTTTTTTTTGTATCACTGGAACAGAGGCTTTCTAGCAATGGAACTTAATTGCTCTCCTTTTCTCAAAAACTGAAAGTCTATCTTGAGTTGGTCTTTGGAAAGCTTTATTTACATATGTATCATTTTATAGTACTGCTACCTAGCCCCTTAGTAGTTCCTCTGTGTAGATGAAGGCTTTTGATCAAATACTCAAATACTCATTTGATCATACTCCTCAAGCATGCTGTCAGTTTGTATTTCTGCACACGACATTATTCAGACATTTTTTTCTAGTTTTTACAATAGATCAAATGAATTCTTACTCCTTTACTAATGTAAAATTGAAATATTTTTCATGTCCATATACAAGAAATAGAGGGCTAAAAAAAAAGTCTGCTAATATTGAATCAGATTTCCTTTTGAGCTGCTTGAACAAGTTGATTCCAATGCAATTTGCACAGCTGGGCAGGCCGGCAGGTGTTAGGAAACATTTTGGATAGGTGGCCTTTTACCACAGTCTGAAATGAAGTGGATAGTAAATCTGGGAGGAATTTTTTTTTTTCTGCTCAAGTTGTTAAATAAACACTATTTCTATGTATATGTATGTTTCTTTTGAAAATTTGAGGGTTTTTTTTTCTTTTTTTATCAGCTTCTGGCTTGTTTCTGTGGAATCCCCAGACAAGCTTGTGTAATTCAGCATAGAGCATCAGCTCAGTTATTCTATGAGCTCATTGAGTAGACATGACCAGGAAAAGAAGCATTAAAATGCACTGTAATTCGGTTATGCTGAGGCACTGGCACATGCACAATGAAGTTAACTTTAAAAATGGGACAAATTTAGCAGAAGGAATATCTGTATCAGTAACTCTAGAAGGAATGTTAGGTGATAGTCACATATGTATAAGCTGGTACTTAAATGTAGCAGTGTCCACACTAAATAGCAATAGCAGAGCTCATGTGAATGGGAAATTATGTTTTTAGTACAAGGCATACAAGAACAGTTCATCTGTAAAGCGATTGAATACTGAGGCAATAATGACAGCATTTATGAATGTTTCCTGCAGAATAGTTGAACCATTTCAAAAAAAGAATGACTGTATATTCAAGAATTGTAGGATGATCCCATGTATCCACAGACCAGCCACTCCAGGAAATAATGCCTTGAAACATTTATACTTCTAATATTAAAATAATAAAGTTTATCCATATATAAACATTTTCAACATTCCTTAAAATGAAGGTGGCTGCAAATGAGTGAAGTTATATTATCTGTAAGTGAAGAATGCATCATTAATAATTTTTAGCATTTAAAATACAAATACACTTACGTTAAGTAAGTGATTACTTACCTTGCTTGGCATGTAATTAATTACCTTGCTTAAAAACATGTAGAAGGGTAGAATTATTGTCCTAGATAGAAAGAAAAAGTGCCATGCATTTCATGCTGACACATATGTAAATAGCAATAGTATTTTGATGGTTAACAAACAAGAGACTTAGTCTTTTTACTGAAAATAAGAATTGAAAAATCTAAGTCAAATTGTCATTATTTAAAATAAGCAGTCTTCTTTACTGATGTAAAACTTAAATGCTGTTTTTTCATGAGACAAAGTATTTCTGCTAATTCTAATTCCAGAAAAGTGATCAAAAAAGTGATACATTATGTATGTCGCCTGGCAGACAGTCCCCATTTTCCCCAGTTGTATATGTTACTTTTCCTGTAAAAAAAAACATATACTGAGAATTTGGAAAGGGAGAAAGTTGTTTTAAAATGGATATTACAATGTAGGAAGTAGAGAAATTATTTTCATTATGTGTATCAATTTCTCCTGTATTTTTCCTCTTCCTCCAAAATCTGTATGTGGTTTTTGTTCATAAGTGTATGTGTAAGCTGTGTAATTGTGTTAAGGATTTTCATTTTGAAATGAACCTAGATAATGACATTTTTCCTGTACTCAGAGTAAAGGATACTATCTCTTCCTCTAGCTTATTTCTGACATCAGAGAAAATGCTTTCTCAAAGCAGGTAGAATCATTTTGTGGTTTAGCATTTGAAGACTGGTCTGATAACCCAAATTGCCAACAGATAGAAAATTCAATAGAGGGTTCTTGAGTGTTCCAGTATTCTCTTTGTATTAGCTTCTAGATATTTCAGTCTTTTGTTCCATCAGGTCCTAGCTGAGCCTAATTTTAGAAAATAGAACATTAGTAATATGCCCTTTCTTCCCAACAACTTTACAGCAGCATCACTATATTTCTATTTAGAGATGTTTCAATAATGTCTTTAGTTTGCTAATTGTTAAGATTTAAGTTCATTTCTTTAATACTCACAAATTATAATGGTACTGAAATAATGATAATCTAACTTCTGGGGTCAGTTTGGACTGTGTAGATGCTTTCAATAATATTTTGAGATTTCAGGGTAATAGAAAGAACCTAGTCTGATGAAGAAACTTCATAAAATTCAAGTGCATGTGAAAATGTCTAGCTTGGTAAATACTCTGTATTAATGCAATCCTTAAATAAGATCCTCCTGTTCATATATGGGATGTCATCCCGCTTAAACATTGGACGGGACAAAAAGTAGACTGCTGTACAAAAATATTTCAGCTGGTTTTTTTCTCTTTTCTTATACCATTCTCCTCTTTAAATAGTCCACTCCCTCTGAGGTCAGAAAGTCATATAGTCTGGGAATTTCACTTGAAAATTCCTTTGAGGCAGAGCTGATCCTTTGTAATTCATGTGGTTTCCATCACATTTCATCCAAAGCCCTAGGATATAAATTATTACTCCTTGTCACACGCATAAGTGCATAGAAGTGAAGTTTATCCAGGTGGTGTCAAGATATTATATTAGGTAGAGCACTGGAAGAGCTGAAGGATAAGCTCAACACTGAGTATTTGGAAAAAAAAAAATGTGGCTGATATGGCAACTGCCAGAGTCTGCTGTACTGTAAACTCTTGTGCATGGGACAGGTAGCCAAACGTATGGAGAAAAATGAACAAGAAAGAATCTTTCTATAGGCTTCCAAATGCAAACTTTGGCACATCTGTTACATTTTGTATATTCAACCTCTTACCCTTAGTGATGGTGTTGAATTAGGAAGCAACATACAATGAGGTCAAATATAATGAGATTGGTTATATAAAAGCTAAAAGGAAAGATAATAAATATTATATATTTTAGATAAATGGTCACTGATTTTCAAAGAACTAGCTGGAATTTCTAACTTCCATATGAAGTTTGTTTACCCAGCAGGGTAGGTGTTGTTTCCTAGCCTTGAGGATAGGGAGGAGAAATCTGATGGAGAAATAATAGATGTAAATATTTTAAGGTATTTCAATCTACTCTCACAATTTTTCTGAAAGAGGGGACTGCAATGTATGACACAGATAATTATGAATTAGAGGATTTTAAAAATTTTTTTTGTTACTATTTTGACAGTTGGATTATCAGTGCAAACTATGTTGTTGCTGTCCCCTGAAATAAAATCCTAGTTTGACTGACTTAGTTACAGATGGTATCCAGATGCTTATTAGACGGGTTCTTTTTTAAGAGTAAGTGAACTACAAATGCAGCCATGAGTGTGAGATAGACCTGAGGCCGAATGCTTGGAGCATGGGAGGATCATTCAGTCAGACCCTGAAAGCAACACTTGCGCAGGTGGCCTAGTAACAGCAAACTTTATTAAAGCAGTTGACGGAATTACAGAACACACAGAGTTGGAAGGGACCCACAAGGATCATAGAGTCAAGCTCCTGGACCTGCATCATCCCCAGGAGTCACACCAGGTTCCCAAGAGTGTTCTTCAAACCCTTCTTGAACTCTGTCAGCCTTGGTGCTTTGGTCACTTCCCTGGGGAGCCTGTTCCAGTGCCCTCTGGCTGAAGAATCTTTTTGCAAATATCCAGCCTAAACCTTCCCTGACACAACTTCAGGCCATTCCCTCAGGTCCTGTCCCTGCTCACCACAGGGCAGAGATCAGAGCCTGCCCCTCCTGTTCCCCTCACAGGAAGCTGTAGCTGCAGTGAGGTCTCCCCTCAGTCTTCTCCAGGCTGAACAGAACAGGTGACCTCAGCTGCTCCTCTTACGGCTGCTCCTCATGACCCTTCACCATCTTTTCTGCCCTCCTTTGGACACTCTCTAATAGTTTAGTGTCTTTTTTACATTATGGCAACCAGAATTGCCCCCAGCACTTGAGGTGAGGCTGCCCCAGCTCAGAGCAGAGCAGGACAATCCCCTCCCTTGCCTGGCTGGTGATGCTGTGCCTGATGCCCCCAGGACAGGGTTGGCCCTCCTGGCTGCCAGGGCACTGCTGACTCAGGTTCATAATAATTGTTAAAAAGTTGTGTTGCTGCTGCCATAGCTGCAATTCTTTCCATGTCAGGTGTGTTCTGTGCTCCCTGAAGTGTGTTCTTGCCATCAGGTTCCTTTGGGCTACAGATGATGTTTTTGCATTGTGCTTCTTTCAACATAATGAAGCATTGGAGCACTCTTAAATATAAATACTAAGATATGTATTAAATGTGGCAAACATATTCTACCCTTTGTAAAATATACTAGATTGATTAAAACGTGTTTCTTGTGAGCTATGTTGAGCTCTGCAAGCAGTCATCTAGTCAGAAGAAGGGTTGATAAGCCGGTCAAAGTGTATTTGTTTTTCTAATTCAGAGTACTTAAGAATGATGTATAAATATAATTGTGTTTCTGTTATGTTCTCAGCAGTGTTTTAAAAGGTTATAAATCACATGTCAGTATGGGGAAAAGTGTTGATTAGAGTGTTAACTTGTAACAGTTATCCTTCATATATTTTTTAAAAAAGAGAGAACTTCTGAAAAAGGAAAAATATTAGTACATGTTTCAGCATCTGATTTTCTTTTAATTTTCCCACAGATATCAATGAGTGTCAGTTACAGGGAGTGTGCCCTAATGGTGAATGCTTGAATACCATGGGCAGCTACAGATGTACATGCAAAATGGGATTTGTTCCAGATCCTACCCTCTCAAGATGCATACGTAAGTAATACTGCTAATCAAAGTACCAAATTAGATACTTAGTTACATTTCCAATGAAGATTTATTTGACTGGGCCCAACTATTCTCATCTGACAACTTTCTTTTTCTGTCCCCAACTCATGCTCTCAGTTTATTTTCTTTATTTCCTCAGTCTTTGTGCTCCTGCCTCTTTTCTGTTTCTGTGTCCTGGAAACCTTGGTCTCTACCAGTGGCTGCCCAGGATCCTTTCTATCTTTTCTTCATTTTCTTGTCACCAAATCTTCAAGGCCACCTCCAGCTCCCATGTACATTTTTCAGGAGCCTGGAGTTTTCACTTTTTTTATTCCCCTTCTCTGCTAGTTTTAGCCAAAATCATCTTTGTATCCTGCTCTCCTCTTTTCCACCTCTGCAGCTTTGATCTGGGCTGTTTCCACTAATAAAGATTTAGCCCAGGATGGTCTTTGGCACATTTTCCTTTTAATTAAGAAGAATTGAAAATTAAGAGATAATTAGGAGAAGGAAAAAGTTGTGAATGGCATCAATGCAAATATTTCCCTCTATTAGTTGGCTTTTACTTTGGTTACAATCAATGACCTCTATAAGAAGAAAAGACAATGTAAAGAACGGGGTTTTTTTGTGAAGAATATGTACAAGTGAAAAATAGCTATAATCCTAAGTGCTTTCTCTGAGCTATCTTTACATTTATAAAATAAAGTATAGGTAAAGCCATATATAGTAAAGCTATAGGTGAGTTTCTTTCTTTTTTTTTTTCCTAGCTTAACTATCTTATGCTACTAGTTAATAACACTCAATTGCTGAGAGTTTCTCAGCAGTTTGAAGAACTTCATTCTGCTTTGCAGTTGAACACCAGAAGAAAGGAGTTGGTTGTTGGGTTTTGGTTTTGCTTTTACATGTCACGTTGCAAATCAGGTGCCTGTCTTTTTTGAGTTATGTGAACATGTTATCAAGAAGTGTTAACTTTATGTTAGTGTGGATGTATAAATTAGAAAACTGGGTGGATCTTAGCTTTCTCTTACCTCATACTAATCACAGCTTATGGCTCTTCCACATTACAACTAAGCATAACAAAATGTAGGTATGTAATTGTCTCTTTTAGGAAAAAAAAGTAATGTATGATACTTAAAGCTTTTGCAGACTTATTGGCATAGCCTAGTTATAGATGGACATTCCTCTGGCTTTACAGCTTGGCACAGCTGTGTAGTGCCAGTGGCTGATCTTCAGCAGCTGGGTGCAAGTGAGATAGACAATTCTCACTCTTTATTGTGGCAGCATGGCAACTCCTGGTTTTGAATTTACTTTCTGTTGTTGTTTTTCTTTCAAATACTTCTTATCCTTGATCTAGAGTAAGCTGGAATTCAGGAGTGTTTGATGCAAAATAAGAATTTTTAATGTTGTGATTCTCATCCGAGATGGGTGTTTGAAATAAAACTTCTGCTGACAGAATATTAATCTGTTTAAGTGGTTTTGGAAATCTAGTGGTATTTCTCTGTTTTGCTTTTCATGTGAACAGTGCCATCCTCTCTTCCACTTTCATTGCAGCTGATAACCCTGTAGTTGCTGAAGAGAAAGGACCCTGCTACCGGTTTGTTAGTGCAGGAAAGCAATGCATGCATCCTCTTTCTGTGCAGCTCAGCAAGCAGCTTTGCTGTTGCAGTGTTGGCAAAGCCTGGGGCCCACATTGTGAGAAGTGTCCGCTCCCAGGAACAGGTAAGAACTTCCCACTAAAAACACACTCTTGCCCCCTGCCCCCTCATTTGTTATGCATGCTTTAAAAAAAAAAAAAAACAAAAAAACAAAACAACCACCAGAGGATATACTTTAGATAGAAGAAAAGTAACCCAAAATGTAGTGAACACTCTTCAGTTGTTAAAGGCTCTGGTGAAACGATGGCAGCCTTTGAGAATTCAGTTGCAGAGCAACGTGGGATGTAGTTTGTATTACAGATAGTAGGACATGCATGGTTAATATCTCGGCTTCCTCACCTTCCTTCATATTTTACCGTCCATTTTGAGGAATGTGCTATTCCTTACTTGACACATAAAGCTCTCTTCTCTTATCAATGTTCCCTTGGAATTCTGATATTATTTAAATATACAAGGAATTCAAAAATATCAGCCTGCTTGGTCACCACTCTCACTTTGGCAGGTTATATATTAAGATACCACATACCAATCACTGTTTTCAAGTACTTTTTATTCCCTGACGTTGCTTAAATCTTAAATGCCCATGGAGTCTTCAATCAAAATCAATTTAATATTGCCTTTTTTCCCCAAATATATGATCAACTTAATCTGTTTTAGCAGCATCATTTGTTGTTGTAATATACATGTCCAGTCTCTCGAGTATTTTAGCCCAGGTATTTGTAGTGACAATCCACTTGAAGCTGCTGCTGCAGATGTCACTGTCATGATACAGGTCATGTATTTCTCTGAAGTATTTTGTAAAGATTTACATTCTCAAACCAGCTAGTTGCTTTGGGAAATCCACAGCTACTATCAGAGGTATTGTGAGATATGATGAGCAGATTCCTTACTTCCTGAAGTTTCACTTACAGAAATGAAAGTGACCAATAGTTTTGAGCATTTCAATCGAGTTTTAAAGCCACTGTTTCCATTGGGTGACTAGATCATTGATCAGCTTTTTAAAACTCCATTAAAACACTTTTGGATAAATAATATTTCTGTGGCTTTTTAATGGAGAAAAAATTTATTCTCATGAGATGACTTGCAATTTAAGTACAGGTGTTTCACATCTGTGAGAATATTGCATGAGGCTTTATGCCCAATAGTGTATATAGTAGAGCACAGAATACATCCTTATGTTGACTGCTATACAGTCACAAAAAATATACTGAGTATCATATGGAATTGGTTATTTTAGTGATTTTTTGCTTAATGAAAAGACTTTAGAGATAAAATCCGTTAGTAGAAAATTTTTGTGAGCTTTTCCCATTTAATGAATACTTGCATGATTTAAAACATGTTCCTTTCTGTAACAGGTTAAATTCATAATGTTTCAGAGTTTTCTATGAAAAATGTGTGAAAGTGGGATACTCCAGAAGGGGGTAATGTATTTACTGCAGCATCCCATGTTAGTATAAAAGCCTCTAAAATATTCATACAAAGTAAATCATCTCCTAAAGAGACACTGAGAGACCAGATTTGTGTGCCCAAGTGTTGAGAGCTCTTATCAGAGCTGTGGTAGAATAAGGCTCACATTTCTGTTTTTCATTTGAAAGAATGATCTGAAGCAAGATTTCCTACATCCTAAATATGCATCTGAAGGGACAGACATCAAATTTTCTGTCTTAGTCCTTTGACCAGAATCCCCACCCTCAGTAGTTGAGTGTTTTTATGGCAAGTTTTGATATTTAGATGTCCCAGTAAAAAGTATTTCCTTATTCTGAATCCACTCAATTTAATTAGTTTGACCCTTCATGTTTTCTATTGCTAAGACACCATCAAAACACATTGTGCAGTTAATGCATACTGATTAATGTATAGTTTAACTCAGCTCTGGAGAGCTTTTAGCTAGTGTTTTCTGCTTTTATTTTAGATGCTAATTCATTTTAAAACCCTGATGTGTTCAAAGCAGGATTTGTGAACTTACCAATGCCCCACTTGGCGGATCCCTCAGGCAGCCATAAGAATTCCCACACAAGCAACTAAATATTTTCTCTTTCATCCCAACGTGGCTTTACCTAGAGCAATACGGACAATGAAGCACTGCCCCCCCAAGACTCCTAAAGGTCTCCCTGACCCTGACAGCAGTATAACTATTCTCTTTGAGGAGGAGGAAGACTGACTTGTATTTCTTTCTCATTTTACTCTTCCAGTAGAACTGCAAAACATGATGCTTATATAGAGTAGCTGTAGAGATAGAGCAAGTGCTGTTGCCTGACTTTAACTTTTTTAAGTTTAACTTTTTCTGTAGCAGCTTTATAAATAAGGTTATTTCCCTGCTCTTCCAGTAGTGATTTGGCTTTTTATGATCCTCATCTTGTTTTTAGCCAGCCTTTTTCAAATCAGTGGAATTTGGATCTGGACTGGTATGAGGCCTCTGATGTAGTCAGGTGGGATCCTCTGGGCCAGTGTTGATACTGGTTGATAGTGATCTGCTTCTCTAGTGCAGGGCTGGTGAGCTTTTTCCCTTTGATTTCTACAAAAAAGAAAATGATAGCAGTAATGGTCTTCATTCATTATGCAGTATAGATGATAAAGACTATTTGCACATTTAAGTTAATACATAGAAAGGATATACTGTTTGGAGGGGATTAACTAAAAAAAATACCTTGCTATATTGACAGATAAGCATAACTGAAGAAAAATGGTAAACTGGAGTGGAAACCTCCTGGGAAAAACAGCCAGAACATGCTTTTGGGAGAATGCTCAATCGTGTTAGCATGCTATGCATAGCTTCTCTTTAAGAAGTTTTTTGTGAATATGTATATACAATATGAGATTAAATTTCTTAGTGGTAGTCATTATATTTTCCACTATGTCAACATATTGCACTTTTAGACTCCTAAAAGGAATATTTTCCCATCCCAAATCTAGCTGCTTTTAAGGAAATCTGCCCTGGTGGAATGGGTTATACGGTTTCTGGCCCTCACAGAAACAAGCTATATCATCACCCTGCAGTTAGAGTACAGCCACCTGCCATTGGCAAGACCCCGATTACTCAACCTGTTGCTAAAGGTACTTCTCCTCCACCTCTCCCAGCAAAGGAAGAGCCAGTGGAGGCACTGACCTTCTCACAGAAAAGTGAGACTGAGATGGCTGTACAAGAAGGTGAGAGTGGGGCAATTTAGTCTTTCTCTGTTTCTGTGCATGTGTCTTCCATGGTTTGTTTCTTTGCATGGCAGCTGCAGACAGTGCAGGGCGGAGAGGCGCCGCTGCCCGCAGCAGAGCATGCCACGGTGCCCAGTGTGGTGCATCTCGGGATTTACCTCTCACAGGTTGTGGGTAGGTCCTGCCAGGTGCTGACACCGTGGAGAGAGAGCGAGGCTGCTTTAATCTCAGTCATTTTTATGATCGGAAATAGTACATATTTTTTGTAAGACTTAAAAAACATATATATTTATGAATTCTAAAAAGGAAAGGTGCAATGGAAAATAAGAATTTATGTGAAATTACTACCACTCTTCCCAGAAAAAAGTAATATTTGTGGAGGAAATAAAACCCCAAACCACTCTTACTTGTCTAAAGAAAAGATAAATTTTTAAAAATTTTTTTCTTTGATAAATCTTGCAAATTTGTTAGTGGCAAATTATATACCATTATGACATTAATTTACTTTTAAAGTGTTTACAGATGTTGATATCCCTTGGAAGGAATTGAAAAGGTTTCATCAGTGAGTTAATAACCTTTGTGCTTGTCAAATTCTTTCTGAGGAAGCAGGTAAACAATTAAGACATCTACAAGGGAGCTGAATACTGAGTAAATAAACATTAGACTGTTTAGGTCTACATTAGGTGTGTAGAATTCTACATTAGGTGTGTAGAATCTTATTCTGGTTTCAGGTTAGTTTTTAAACTTGCTCCAGGAACATGATTTCTTGTTTCCACTATTTTGGAATGAGGTTTGAGCCTGAATTTTTGCGTGATGGCAGCGACCACTTTCAAATGTAACTAAATACGTAATAAAATGTTTTGAGGAAAGTGATTAATTTTCTTTTTTCTTTCTGGTTTTAGTGGCAACTGCAGCTCCTGATCAGGTAAAACATGATATAATTTATGTAGAAATTAGAATGCAGACCATGTATGAGATGGGATACAGATAAGTGAAAGGATTTGGTATTAATGATGAATAAACAAGTCACTGTGGACTTAGTGCTCAAATGCTGAGGCAAAAAGAGCTCATGTTGTTATATTGTACAACAGCAGGCAGGTAGTGAGGTATAGGAAAGAGATTACTTTACTTTAACCTCCCTTAGAGGCATGTACTGGGGGTCTGGTATATGTTGCTCTGTCCCATTCTGGTGACTGTATTTTAAAGAGGATAATGAAAAATGCAGAGAGTATGAAGAAGAGACACAGATACTAACAACTAGAGAAAATAAATCAGAGAGAAACGTTATGAAGCTTTGAGAAGCATTTACGACACCTGCTTATGAGACTGGTATTAGTGCCTAAGTTAATTTCATTGTTTAGGGTGTACTGTGCTCATTGGAGAAGAGCAAGTGTGTATCTGTGTGAAGTCCCCCATTCTGGAGGTTTCAGGTTCTCTGTGCTGGAGATAATGGGATTTGTTGTGAATAATTGCAGCCGTGCTCCATTTAATTTTCCTAAAAACATACAAGCATCTAACATTTCTGTGAAAATAAGATGATGGGTTCAGTAGCTAAGAAGGAACCTTTCACAGTTGTCAGACACTTAGATGTGATTGTATATTTTTGTGTGATGTAAACTGCATTCAAATGCCATTTGTAAGCAATTAAAGAGCAGAGAATGGGAGAATTATGGAGGGACAAAGCCAAAGATACACTGAGAAGCTCTAGGAAATGGCTGCTTCAAGTAAAATCAATGTTAAATTGTATGCTGTTGTATAAACATAGTATTCCATGTTCATTCAGGTTTAAATTTGTGGTGATTAATGATCTGCTATCAAAAGCCACTCACGTGAGAATATTAGCAGTGTCTCAAGCCAGGAGTTTTTTGTGGGTAGCTATTAAGAGAATTGAGAGAATCTTTTCAGGATGTTATATTTTTTTTATCGTTGTAGGAATTAGCTTCCATTGATCAAGAAAAGCAGCCTTATCTGGAGCCTGGGCAGCCTCAGCTTTCTCCTGGAATTTCAACAATTAACCTGCATCCACAGTTTCCAGGTAACTTATTTTATCTTTTCTTTCAGTATGAGAGAGTGCTTACTATTCTTAAAATAATGGAAAAGTAGCAATTCTAACAGAGGTTAATGAAAAAATGATTGGTGCTTCAAAAGCAATTTCTCCATGATCAAAAATCATAGAAGCAGAAGTGGGAGGAATGGAGAGGTTGGCATTGGCCTGGTGACTTGTTTAGGAGATAAAGACATATTTTAAGAAGAAGTGGTATCCTGGATTATGTGCATGAGAATTTTAATGTCAGTAGATGTGAAGCCTTGTACTCCTTTCAAGAGGAAACTATGCTTAGGTGGCTCTTTGCAGATTTGTGCATAACTTTTGCTGCAAAAGTTTTGCAACTGTGTTTGCTTTCTTTATCACCTCAGTGTTTTTTTCTCACAAGCAGTAGAAAGATGAAAACGCCAATTACACAGGTTTTTTTCTACTGTAGGTCAAAGCAGAATAAACAAAAATCTCTATAGTGCCTAGCTTATTTATGTGTGAATTCTTTAAGGGTTATGTTTTTTGAATGCTTTAAGGTGGGTTTTTTGAATGTAATTGATTTCCATTCCATGTCACACAGTAGTGATTGAGAAAACATCCCCTCCTTTGCCTGTTGAGGTTGCTCCCGAAGTCTCTACTTCAAGTGCAAGTCAAGTTATTGCACCTACTCAGGTTACAGGTATTGTACTTCTCTTTAAGAATTGCAATAAATTATGAAATTGCTGAGTGCCTGACACTATTGTTCTGTGCTGTTGCTGAATTACCATAGTGAAGAGAACATTGTTGTAGAACAGGAGTAATATTCTGGAGAAAGTGCAGAACAGCACAACAATGAGGCTGCTATCAAGAGAGCCAGGACCGGGTCCTTCCAGGATGTACCTGCCATTTTTGTATGCACTAGTAAAGGATAGAAGATAAAATTAATCATTCACCTCAGATTCAGTTCTGGATTTTCTTTGCAGATCTGCAGGGCAAGTCCAGAACTGAATACTTCTTGAATACGAGTCAGGTTGTGAGACAGTCTTACATGTGTTTTCATGAAGTATACATGACGATGTTCATTGAGGGATGTAGAGTTCAAGGGATGTAGATCAGAATGTTCTACAAAAAGCAGGTGAGACATTACTGTAAGATCATTTTGAAACATTATTTTGATGTTTGTGCTCCATCCTTTTTTGGTGTATTAGAGTTGCCTCATCTACGTCTATGTATCAAGAAGTGAAAATAACAGAAATGCAAGTAATGCACCTGCCATAGCTGAAATTTGTCTAAATGACAGCTGTGTCAAAAAGACATCAAAATTTCTTTTGCTATGCATATAGAAAAAAAAAGGTGAATGTAGCATATTTGTATATGTGAGAGCATTACAATTCACATTTGTTAGAATGAACCAGAATGAACACAGGCTTTGAAATTATTGCAATATCCTGGTAAATACTGTAAAATGCATATCTTGTATATGGTAGAGATATTTAGGCCTACAAAGAGGTTTCCTGGTTTCCATTCAGAGGGAGAAATTTCACATACTTTAATAAAAAATGAACTCTTCAAAATGGCATTCCTTCATGCAGGAATGGACTTCTGAATTGATGCAATGCACACGGGGTCTAAATCACCCAGTTGTTTGTACAATTCTGTCTGCAGCTGCATCCTCCTGAATGTACTGTAAGAGTAGAGAAAGTATCCTGTCCTTATGTAAGCATTCAACTGCTGTCTTCAGTTGCTGTAATTACAATTAATCAATGCCATACAAAGGTTGAAATAGTTGTGATCATCAAACTAGAATTTGGAAGTCGGCTCTTCTGTGACTGTGTCCCTTCTGCCAGCCAGCTCCCAGTTTCTTTACAGGGAGAGAAAGTTACCTTGCTGGGAGCTCACATCAGTTAATAAAAGGAAAATGGTAATTTTCCATGTTCTGGTTTTTATTTTCTCAGGAAAATTAGTAGAACTAGAAATTGCTGTGTACTATAAATCAATATATTGTTCAGAGATAATAAAGTAGAAGTGCAGTAAGATTTGTAGGACAAAATCCTAAACCGGATTTAAAAAACTGACTGCAGTTCAAGCTGAAAAGTTTTTGATTGTCTTACTTCTTTAATTTAAAATTTAGTTAAATTTAAATGTGACCTTTTTCTAAATAGTCTAGATAAACAATTCTTTACAGTTAATTTCTTCTTTTTTTGGGAATTACGATTCCATACTGCAGTATTTGTTACAACTGAAGACAGTCATTAGTATTTTCTGCAGTAACACGTATACTTAGGGAATTTCTAAAACTGCTGTAAGGATTTAGCATCCAATGCTGCCCGTATCTGAATCTCCTTATCTTCCAAAATACATCCAAGGCATTAGTAGATGAGTATTCTGTAAATCAGGATACCCACTGTAATCGGGGATCCATTGCAGTTACTTTCTTAACGTGCAATGCAAAGTTTGAGCCATATGTATTTTTTTGTTTTATCTTATCTTCATTTTACTTTAAATGTTATATACTGACTTATAGATCTTGGATGGGACATAAGATTATGTCACTCGGAAAAGCGCAGATGGTTTTTGGATTCTTCCAGATAAGATATCCATTAGAGAAATTCAGGAGTTGCAAACTTGATTTACAGTTGTTTTTATGCTGAGCTTTCTACCTGGATTTCAGGGTATTGTGCACTTACTGAACTATGTAAGTTTAACATTAAATTTCTCTTTGCTTAGAAATCAACGAATGTACAGTTAATCCTGATATCTGTGGAGCAGGACACTGTGTTAATTTGCCTGTGGGATACACTTGCATCTGCTACAAGGGGTACAAGCTTAATGATCAGCAGACAAAGTGCATTGGTATGAAATTGCGCTTTCTAAAATCTGAAATAACCGTGCTATGAAATGCTTGAAATCAAGAGTCTGGTTAGGGGAAATCTCTACAGAGCAGTCAGGCGTTCTTTCCTCTGTTGAATGCTTCCAAACTGCAAGGATTTATATTTTTTTAATGCCAAATAAAATTTGCTAGGTAGTCCCTAATACAGCCTTCCAGCTGCTCTGAAATGAGTGTGAATTTAATGAAATTGAATGAAAATGTCTCCCATTGTGATGTGAGAGAAAAAGTGATTAGGCAGACCATCTCCTCGCAGCTGCGTATCAGGTATCTAAAAGTCAAACTGCTAGGAAGAAATACACTTCTGTTTGGAAAAAGAATGAATTTGTGCCTGTTTCTCACAATGATTTACCCAGCTACCAGCTCTGCAGACAGACTAAGCCCAGGCATTTTGTTAGGTCATTCCTTTCAGCCTGCTACTGAAAAGAGAAAGAATATCATAAACAGCCCAGAAGCACAGTGAGAGATCTGCTAAGTAAGGTCTCCATCCCCTTTTAACCTAGTAAATTCTAGATGATGATTCTCTGATGAACATAAGGCAGAGCACAAAGGGGTCCTACATGAGCCGTTTCAGATTTGGAAGCAGCTGTATTGGTATCTTTATATCATTCAGAATATGCTGGTTCCTCTGTAACTTGGATCAGAAAGGGTGTATTGTATCTACAGATTATATGCTATAAAATGTTCATGCCACCAAAGCTCAGTAGCTTCACGCTGTAACACATGCTGTCAGGTGCAACTATAGTATTGAAAAACAAATTATGCAACACATCCAAATGGCAACTTAGAATCCCTTTATTTCATCCAAATTTTATTAACATTCCATGCTTGCAGCTTGCAGTGCTCATGTTGCACACAGTGTAGTGATTTGAGCTGTAATCATGTCACGTTCTTCAGGCCAATGCAATATTCTTACAGTCTAAGCCAATAAGAGCATTTTTCTCCAACCAAACCTATTTAATCCATCTTTTTTTCATCTCTGAGAGAAAACATATATACCTTTTCCAATAGTTAAATAATTACAAGATCAGTCTTTTCAAATGCATGGCATAGAATGCACAAAAATAATCACAACTATATACTCTATTCTATAGTCTTATGTTTTCATTTCTTTTACAGATATAAATGAGTGTGATCAGACACCACATCTCTGTTCCCTTGGACGCTGTGAAAATACAGAAGGAAGTTTCCTATGTATTTGCCAAGCTGGATTCATGGCCAGTGAAGATGGAACTGACTGTGTTGGTAATAACTAGTCTCCTTTATAGAAAATAAAAATATCAAAATTATTCAAGAAGCATAGCTAAACCCTCCTAAAGTCCCCTTTACAAGTCTTTTTTCCTCAATGTCAGTGGTACTAGACTGATGTCTGGAAGTATATTTCACTGTCTCTCACCTGGTGTTGTGGTGAGCAAAGCACCTGTTTAGCTGATATTCCTTTTCCAAATATTTGTTTGTTGAAAAACAAGAATTTATTCAGTACATCAGTGTTTAGGAAAACTATCAATTAGTAAAAACACCTGCTGTGTAAGATACAAATATTCAACACTCTTTCAATGAGTAGAAGCTGAAACAAACCATATTTTTAAATAAAACTGCAAACAGCCAGAGGCTTCACAAAGCAACACACACGGCCTGAAGGGGTTGGGGTCTGCCTTAGGTTAGGCACTGCATACCTGCAGCAACACACATTGTGTTTGCAGCCATTGGGGTGCTCCCAGGCCACGTTCTGTACCCTGCCAGTTTCTCAGACTCACTCTCTCTGTGATTACAAATAGTGAGGTGGCTTGCAAACAGCTTCAAAAATCCAAACTTACTACTCAGTGTTTAGTTAAAGCAGAGTTTTGAGGAGATGCAAGCGTTCAATACTTTGGTGGTGAAGCAGCTTCTCTTCTCTTTGTAATCTGCAGATTTTGATGAATGTTCAAGACCTCACACTTGTGGAGAAGGATTTTGTGTAAACACTCTTGGCTCATACAGATGTGAATATTGTGATAGTGGATATCAAATGAACAGGAGAGGGGAATGTGAAGGTAGGTTTGGACTCTTCCCTAGTGGCAGTGGTGATTGATACTGATAGCACTTCATAACACCATTTATTGATAGCACAAAAGCAGTGCCAAACTACTGCTGTTTGGAATGATTAATGTTCCCTGCTATTCAAGGGAAGCTTTGCATTGCAGCTTGAGCTGCAAAGGGGCAAATCTCAGAGGGTGCAATCTTAAACAAGAAGCCTTTGTGAGTACTCTTCAATCTTTGTCATTATTTGGTGTCTGGAACTGCAATTCAATTCCTGCTATTTAAATTTAAGATGCTGCAAAGGAGTGCCCCCACTGTGTACAGAACCATCTTGGAACAGCCATTTTATCATCTCTTGCCATGGAATCACTAACTTCATTGTTAGTCCTTACCTGCTTGCCAAGTTTTTGTAAAAAAAATAAATAAAAGTTAATTTTCCTTATATTCTATCAGGTAGCAAATGAGAGGTTGACTTTTTAATATCTGTATAAAGCAGATATTTCATGTTCAGGAGATCCTAGCACATCTGACCTTCAAAGCTTCAGCTTACTTTTTAGTGTATATTTTGGTCTTTTTTTCCTGGTATTTTTTTCATTTTCAACTTGAATGGTGAACTAAAAACGCCAAGAAGACATTTCATTTTAAACATGATTTTGTTTATCCTTTTGTCTAAGTTACATAGGACAGCCTGGCAAATAAGCAACTTAAAGCTGCCATGGATATATTTGCTGCTCTGAACAATGCTAAAAGAATCTTAAATTCTTTCAATTTTTTTAAAATTTATTTAAATGTTTCACAGACTCTACTTTTACAACTAGTCTTTGTAACTCTTCTCTGTGACTAGGGAATCTGTAATTCAGTTAGGCTAGAAATCAGACTATTACACTACATCAAATTTGTTAATTAACTTGTATTTTAAATAGTGTGGTGGTAGTCCTCTGTAATTTTACTTAACAGAATGTAATTTCTGAAACCAGATTCTCTGTTGGAAGTTATTTAAGGTTGCTTAAGGGGAAGATCCTCCTACATTAATCCATCAAACCAAGGAAATCACATATTGGGGGAATTATTTCACCGTGTCATCACTCCACTGACAGATTTCTGATTTCACAAAAAACTTCCTTCCACCCCCTCCACAGTTCAAAAACAAAAGCAAGAATCCTCCAAGCTGCACACAATACTCACAGTTCACTTGCACTTCCTGGCCCCATCCTCATTCTGCCTTCAAGCTGTATTCACACAAGGTCTGTCACAGGCCTGGCCAGGGGACTGTGAAGAGTACATACGTGTTCTTGTAGATTCTGTTGTTTATGTAAAACAGTGTTGTAGTCATAGCTGAACATCATTGCATAGGATCACAAGAAGAAGAAAAATCTTCTTGTGATTTTTTTTTACACTTTGTCACATTTATGTTTTATTTTGACTAAAAATTTCTGTACTAAGTACATCATTCATGTTCTATGTTTTGAGGACCGACACAGTCCAGACAGTTCTGAGAAGAAATTACAACAGAAGTGTAATTTTCTTTGTTAATTAAGTAAAAAATAAATTCCCACAGTAGTTTCCTGAGAAACTTTTGCAGGTCTGCATTGTAGCAGCTGAAGAAGCCTCTTGGTGTTTTTACGAGAAAGCATTCTAAGCTGGACAATTGTGACTCTATGAAAAATTGTGATTTGCCTACATCCAGTGAGTTGTTTGGAGCTGGGATGTTCAATTCTCTCAAGCTTGGAGCATTTAACTTGCAGTTAAATTGCAAGTGTTGGGAGCTCCTGAGTTCTATGAGCTTGTTATCAAAGCTAGGAGTGAATTCCCTCCCGATGATCTGTGCTCAAGGTAGCAGTCCTTAATTGCAGAAGACAAAACTGCTAGGCCTGGAGCAGGAAAAGGAGGGAAGCTTAGGAAGCTGAGTATAGAGGTGACTGACAATTTAATTAGTTCTGTGCACTGCATGAAGAAAGTATTTAATGGGAAAGATTATAATTATTGTGTAATCAAATACCATATTATAAAGTGATCTCACACACGTGAGCAGACTGCAAGGAGGCTGCCTACACAGTTTTAATTCCTGTATCTTCTGATCATTGGTCACTTAACAGCAACTTATCTTTGAATGTTGTTGTTTGTGTGCAGTCTCCTCTAGATTGCATATGTTGGATGTATTCTGGGTTTCCTTGGGGCAGGATAAGAAGTGTTCTTGCTCAGAGCCTGAACATGAGTTCCATGACTTTTTCAGGACCTATCTCTTCTTATCATGGGCAATCTAGGACCTTACCTGATGCAGAAAGTCCCTCTCTCACCCTAAACATTGCCAACCCCAGGGATGTGGCTTGTGCCTTCTTTCAGATAAAATTAACTCCTTTCTCCATGTAAGCATCTTTGAGTCTCATTCACACAATCGTGGTTTTAGTCCCAATAGCATTTGCATGCTGAATAACTCTGCAGCATTGGAGAATACCAAATTGTGCTTTGCTTTTGGAAGCCAGAGTTACAATTTTACTGTCACTCCAATGAACTGCCAAAGTCTTACTATAGGAAGAATCTCAGGTGCTTCAATATGGTAAACATGAGGAAAGTTATTTTTACCTGTGGTAGCCAGATACCTGATGTATTGTATGTTCTGGAAGATCTACCAAAGATTTTTAGTGTAACAGAGAATTCAGATTCAGTTGTGTGTATTATGAGCTACATAATACACATATATCAGTGTCTATATATAGTATATTTCTCAGAGATGCCCCTTTGCTGGTACAAATTTGTGTGAACTTGTTCTTTCCTGTGTCTCTACCAGATAAATTACACAACTCCTTAAATGCTTTAGTATCACAGGAGGAGAGTCAGAGTAACCAGATTATTGTTCAGTGTTCTACTATGGCTTTGACCAGTATTTTCTTTTATCTTCTCTTTTGAAGACATTGATGAGTGCCTGACTCCAACGACCTGTCCGGATGCACAGTGCCTTAATGCTCCTGGCTCTTACCAGTGCATTCCTTGCAGAGTGGGGTTCAGAGGCTGGAACGGACAGTGCCATGGTATGTTTGGTGCTCTTTGTCTCTCTGGTTATAGTTCTTGTTCTGAGGTGCTGTATTTCATATTCAATCAGTGTAATGACCTGATGACAGCACTGTGCCCTGGGTCCCCATTTCATTCAAGAATAACTGAAAATATGAGATTTTTGAAATTACTTTATGTTCTCAGACACAGTACAGAAGAGGAAATCTTGTTTTACTACAGAGAAATGAGCACTGAATCTAGACTACAAATTACATAATTACAAAACAAAATTCTTGAAATAGAAAATATGGAACAGAAAGAGGATCTATGGTCAGTGAAATTCTAGTAGGCTGTTATTTGGAAATGGAAAGACAAGTGACTGCTAATACATCAGTGTGACTCAGGATTTTCAGTAGAATATGGGACTTTGCTCACAAAGCATGTTAATTAAACTCCTTTATTATCTGTACTTCTAGCAAAATATTAGCATATCCTCAAGTCCCTTGTGTAACTTTAGCTTAGGTGTTTAGGACAGATTTCTCACATTTTACTTTTGTTGATTTGCTTGTAAATGTTAGTTTGTTGTTTTGTTTTTTTTTTCAAAACCAGTTTTGACTATTTGAAATTGAGGTAAGAAAGAGCAAACTAATCCATTGTGCAAAAGGAAATAATCTTTTGCAGTTTTGAGTGCCACTTTTTGGGACACTACCAAGAACTTAAATTTAGTATCAGTTGTGAAGGATCTGCTATCTGTTGTGAATGTTCCTGCCCACTCCATGAAACACATGCCCTATAATTTGTGATTGTTGGAATAGCCATGTTACCTAAACACTTGTACAACAACCTACACAGAGGGTGTTTGCATTACTGTTGTAGGGCACATTGTCAGTGTACTGCCATGGCTTACTCTCTAAGGGCTCCCAGTTCTGTGATTCAGCTCACAAAGCAGTCTAAGAGCAGGCTTTGGTTGAAACAGCACTGCTGGCTGGGATCTGCTGTGCTCCAGCTGCAAGTGTGGTGCTGATCTGTGGATCAGGATTAGAGCCAAGTTGCAGTGAAGCAGTGGTGTGGCTGTCAGAACCTCAGCACCAATTTTGCTGTGCAGATTACACTGTTTTCAACTACCCTATTTTCTGAAGTCATACTGTCTGAACAGGTCTGCCATGTCATAGCTGCATATTTGGCCTTGTCATTTGACTTCCTGTGGAGGAATGTATTTCTCAGGTAGTTTCATGGATTTTAATGGAGTTGTAACAAGCTACAAAATGTTTACAACAAATTAATTACACAAATTACTCCACACTGATCTTTGTTTCATTGCTTCCCACCTGCCTGGATTTGTGGTGCCATTGCAAAGAATGTGGCATATGTACTCTGTTAGAACTCTTTTACTTAACTCCTTTTTTTTTTTTTTTAATGTTGGCCTAATTTTGGCTTTTTTCCCCAATGTTAAGCTTTATTTCTGTACCTATTTATGAAAATTGCCTGGTTGAATATTCCCTGACATAACTTTCAGTTGTTTCATTCTTGATAACCAGGTTAGTAGGAGGGAAATGAGAGAAGTCAGTTCTTTGCTCAGAATTAAGTCATGCAAGGAGTATGTCTTGGTTTAAAGTGATAATTTTTTTCCTAGTATTACTGCATGCAGCTTCTCTTTTTTCCTTTGTTTTATGAAATGTTCTAATCCTAGGCACTCTTACTCACTTCATTAGTGATGTGATCAGTACATTTTTTGTTTATCCTAGGCTTACATCATGTTGGAAATGAGCCATACATATTTTAGAAAATGTAATGCAGACAATTTTTCCTAAATCTGTAGTTCTGCAATATGGCACCATTTAAATACACCAAAAAGGAAAATATTTCCCATTCTCTGTGAAGGGTATTTAAATACATTGTTCCATAAATTCATTTGTTTCTCCTGTTAGTTTAGATCAGTTGCAGCTCTTCTGTTTTTACACAGTGCTGTTTTCAGTATTTTTTTACCTCACTTCATTCCTCTGCCTGCACTTCATGCCGTAGAAAATCTAATGTAACAATCCTACAGATAGATCTTTGATGCCATTTATATTGTAATCTTCCAGGGTTTAAAGCCAGGAACATAGCCATTTCTGTTTCATTAAGCCAAGTCAATCAGTTCACTTCAAACTTGGGCAGACTACATTTAACTGGAGTTTAGGTATTTAATGTTCAATGCATGTTGGAAAAAATGGAAAAGGACACCTGCACAGCCTGCCTCCTCATTGTCTTGAAATTGTCACTGTCCCAGGTTCCCCAGTGAATTTGTGTTTTACAGGGACTATTTGAAATAATTAATTGGTTTTTAAGTTTACTTTCAACCACTGATTAATTTTTACTCAATTTTTCTCTCTGCACATTTTCACATTCAAATAAAGTCAGATATCATGATGTATCTAAAGCACACTTCTGTGTATTGATGAACAAATATAAAAAATACATTGACAAAACTTTCTAGATCACTTCATCCTCATGGTTATCATTGTGGTGGGTTTTGAAGCTGCATGGTTAACTGTCAATATTCAGCATGTACAGTTTTAAGGATCCCATTAGAAGATACCAAAACTAATACAGAGGTAAGCAGAGCTAATCCAAATACCTCTAGCCCTACTGTAGGGAGCACCAACAGGATCAGTTATAACTCTGGATTTCATCTCAGAAAATTTAAGTTCTGTTCCTGGCTTTTCTGCTGGCTTTATGGGGACATCTCTTGATCTTTGAGTCCCATCCAAAACTCAGAAATAGTATTCCAGGTTTATTTGTCAAGCAGCTTGGAGATGAAAGTGAATCTGTAAGAAGCACTTTTGTTGTTTGTTTGGAAATTTGTGTGCTTGAATTGGGTTCTCTGTATTTGAACAGATTCTCCAGTTAGAGCATTGATCATGTACATTGAGAGCAAACATTGTGTTTTGTAGAGCAAGCACATTTTGCAACAGTAGTGAGGTGGGAAATAAGCCTTGGAGAAAGGAATAAGGAGTAACACCTACTGAATGCCATAGCAGAGCACCTGTAGGTCTGGGCTGTAATCTCTGCTTGGCCAGGCTGCAGCAGGACATCTTATTTACAGAGCTAGGGGCTCAAGTGAGGAACTGAGAGTAGTAGGGAATGTGGATGATAAAGGTGATTTCGTTTGTGTCTGGGGGAAAGATGGGCTTTGCCAAAGGCAGGTGGTACAGGAGCTTGCAAAGAGCCAAGTCTCTAAATACATGTGAAGAAAATAGTTACTGCATGTATTCACAATAGCTAATAAGGGTTATGATGATGGTTTAAAGATGTCTGATCTTCCACCTCTCCCTGTGCTACAGGTGTCTAAATGGCTCAAGTGCCTCAAATAATTAGCACTTTTTTATGCTGATAGGTTTTGTGTGCTTTGTGGTGGCAAAAGACAGGATAATTGGGAGTAATATGATTTCTGGCACATAAAAACAAAGAGTAGTTATTTTCCTGCATCAGTGAAGCTAAAAATATATAGCATTTTTCCTTAAAAGAAGGACATGTGCTGATTACTGCAGTCGTGATATAAAGAAATAAAATCGGAAAACTAAATGTTTTTTTCTTTGAAAACCACTGCTAGAAGAAGACCAGTAATTGTTATTTTACAATACAGAATTAATTCTGTCTGGATTTATAGCAAAATATGTTTCCTTTTTTTTTGTTTTGTTTTGGCTTTGTTGATTTATACAAATTGCATTCAGAAGGAATTCTTGAAAATTACTGCTAAGTAGCAACACAGCAATTTTCATGTTGGCTAAAGAAAGTGGCTCATCTAATTAATACCTTTCAGAGAAGGATGAAAGTAGATGTCATGGGATAGGCTTATAGGAAATAAAAGCTGCTTTCACGTCCTTCTAAATAAAGGATGGTTTGTGACTAGGAAGAGAGATTTTGCATAATCCAGTTAAGTTCCTTGATGAGTATGTAGAGTAGCCTTACAGAGGCACCTGCATGAAGTGCAAAAATCCCATTGAAATCAATTCTTCAGGAATAATAATCATGCTTATTATATAATTTGAATATATTCCCAAACTCAACTGAAAGGTGGTTGTACCCTAGTTGATTTCTTTCTTTCTATTCACAGATATAAATGAATGTCAGTATGGAAATCACTGTACAAATGGACGTTGTGAAAATACAGAGGGATCCTTCAGGTGTTTTTGTGCCCAGGGTTTCAAACTTTCTGCATCAAAGGATCAGTGTGAAGGTAAGAAAGAATATTATTAAAATCCATAAGGTTGCATTTTACCTTTTAGATAAATTTTTTTTTAATCTTGCTTTTAAATATACAACACTGATGCTAAAAACACAGAAATGTAAGAATGTGTATTTCCATTTTATGGTTTCTGTGATCACATTGTAGATTTTGACATGTGTTATAAAGTCAGTCAAGAACATGTAATAATATCTATATTGCTAAACTGGAATTTTTGCAAAATCCGTGGTATATCTGGCATTTCAGAGATTTAAGGACAGTGGCTTTTGCTTTTCTTTCTTTTTTTTTTTTTTTTTCCCTACCATGTGGGTGAGTGGAATCAAAAAACCTAGGCTGCTCCCCTTTGGAGCCCAGCAGTGTCAGTTACCACTGAGCAGTTAACCCTGCCTGCACTGGTGTCTCTGTGTTTCCAGTAGTACACTGAGAGAGAGGGAGCTTGGGGGTGTATTCCTGGGAACGGTTCCTGAACCTCCAAAGTGTCGGTTTCCACATTTCTTCCACGTCTAAAATCCCCATCAGGACTGCTCCAGTGAAACAAAATTAGGCCTGAAGTTAGAGTGAAGTAGTGTGAGGGAGAACCTAGAGCATATATAGGAGGTATGACTATTCCTCTCCTTAATTAGAGGGTACTTGAAACTTTTCCCTAATGGTGTAAATCTGGGACAGTATCTCCAGGCTGTGGAAGTGCACAGAAACCTACATGTTTCTTGTCAGACGTTGGATTTCCTTCTTTTTCCTTTCTCTCAGCCTTCCCTAAGTGTCTCTGTACAGCACCACTTTCAGACTTCTGAGTGCTAAAAATAATACAGTAAAACTAAATGATCGTTCATATAAGTTTGTCAGGAAGTTTGAAACAAAACATCAGTGTAAGTTAAGTGTCTTGAGTGAGTTAAATGTGCTGTGCAGGACATACAGCAGACTGATCTTGGGGAAAATATGTAGACAAAATTTGACTGCTTCCTCTGAGCCTTTCATGGAAAAGAGCCCTTGCCAAGCTGAGCTGGCATGTGCAGACTGTTCTTCTTAAAGTGCACCCTTCTAAAGTGAGGACCTGTACACATGCCCAGCTGCTTCATGGAGCCCCACAGATTTCAGTGATCCTTAAATTCTACACTTCTGTGGTTGCAAGGAACCGTTACTTAAGAGGTCAGACTGTTCAGCCATAACACAGACCTGAAAAACCTCATTGAGTAACATTCTCCTGTTTGAATTGAAGTGTATTTCCAGAAAGACATCCAGCTGTGCCAAAATGCTAGATGTGACCAAGAACTTGCCATGTCAATTCAAATACTGCTTCTTAATGAATATTTTACAAATAACAGAGGGAAAATAGGCTTCCTAGCTCAAACAAGGCATGTGCTATATTCTGAATTCAAAGTGCCACTTCCCTCCAATACTTTGTTTCCATATGAAAATTTAAGTTTGATGTTCAAATCCATCTGTTAGCTCAGGCTGACTCCAGTTTATGAGAAATGAAGCGCAGAGGGATTAGCAGTGTTGTGGAAGCAAAGAGACATTTCCCCACTGCTAGATGATTAATACTGCTACAAGGCAAGAATTTTAAAGAGCCTTAACTTAATAGGGGATTAGCCTGTCAGTGTGCATCTGAAAACCACACCCTGTTAAAAGGTGGTGATCCTGCTGGAAAGTATTTTGTGGGTTTTGCTGATTCACTGGAGCGGCTGACTTGTTACCTCTGCCAGATACAACAGAAACAAAAGCAGCTCTCAGGCAGCATGTGTGTGTATTTGTGAGTCTGTGTGTACCCAGTTGTGCATGAGGGATAAATTGATGTTACAGGAGAGAATGTTGTACACAGTCATCTCAAGGAAAACACACAGTCTGCAGTTTCATATAATTTTATGTATTACATTGATTGTCTGTATTTAATAAATACAAACAAGCAGTACTGGATACTGATACTGTGCTTTGCTGTTTTGTTCAGACTTGATCTTTGTACCACTTGATGAGTAATTGGTATTTTCAGATGTTTACCCGTTTCACTGTCTCTGCAGATATTAACGAATGCCAACAGCGATCGGTCTGTACGAATGGACGCTGCAGGAACACAGAGGGGTCTTTCAGATGTGTCTGTAGCCAAGGCTATGCATTGTCATCTGCTGGAGATCAGTGTGAAGGTAAGCTTAGGGACTTCAGCTACTGACTAATTTTTTTCAATAAGATCTTGAGTATTTCAGCTATAGTGGTGAACTCTTAAGAATGGAGAAGAAATATATATTGCCTCTCTTTCTTTCTCTACACTGCCAACCATTTGTTCCCATCAACACAGCCACATATGCAGTCATCTCAAGGAAAACACAGTTTGCAGTTTCATATAATTTTATGCATTACATTGATTGTCTGTATTTAATTAAACAAGTTAAGCAGTACTGGATACTGATGCTGTGCTTTGCTGTTTTGTTCAGACTTGATCTTTGTACCACTTGATGAGTAATTGGTATTTTCAGATGTTTACCCGTTTCACTGTCTCTGCAGATATTAACGAATGCCAACAGCGATCGGTCTGTACGAATGGACGCTGCAGGAACACAGAGGGGTCTTTCAGATGTGTCTGTAGCCAAGGCTATGCATTGTCATCTGCTGGAGATCAGTGTGAAGGTAAGCTTAGGGACTTCAGCTACTGACTAATTTTTTTCAATAAGATCTTGAGTATTTCAGCTATAGTGGTGAACTCTTAAGAATGGAGAAGAAATATATATTGCCTCTCTTTCTTTCTCTACACTGCCAACCATTTGTTCCCATCAACACAGCCACATATTTAATGGATTCTCAGAAACAGTCCCTGTCATCTTTCCACATACAAAAACTTAGGACATGTGCTTCCAACAGTAAGATTGGAAGACCAGTTGATATTATTACTGAGAACAAGTCAGCCTTTCCAAACCTTGTTGTTTAAGTTCTGACACAGAGGCTCTGTATTACAAAAGCTTCTGCCAGTATGTGCTATTCTCGTGGGGACCTGCTAGTTCATAGTTCTTCTCCAGCTGGTTTTGGGAACCTGCAGCCAGCCACCACAATCACACATGTGCACTGGGAAGAGAAAGTATTTAGTAGATGACAAGTTCCAGCAGGATCTACTGGAGCTCACAGCTTGCACTGCCTCAAAATACAGTCTAGGTACTGAGCTTTCAAAAACAAAAGTAAGAAGTGAAAGATGTGAAAGAAATGCTGTGTTATAGAGAAAAAACATTCTCTTATCACTCAAGTGAAACAATTTAATTGTCCAGTAATTGGCAAGCTGATATTTTTTTCTAATGAAGCATTTCAAAGCTACTCCCTCCTCTCTGTTGTTGGCTATACCATCTGATATGGTACATCTGCTGCACTGCTCATGATCACCTTAAGAATGCAAAATTACTTACTAGCAAGCTCCAGGAAAGATTCCATCTCAATTGCTTTCTTATCTGACACTAGCAGTGAGAAGTAGCTCTTTGTTACACTGTACATGTGACATTAGCTCATGAAAGCTTTTTGGTCTCCGGTGTGCTTTCTGTAACTGTCGATACCTTGCAAGATAAAGCTTCTTGCTGCTGTTCTATCAAATAGTTCTGCTGCTAGGTTATCCTCCACACAGCACTTGGAAGGGAGTCCTCACCTTCTCCCTCACAGCAATAGGTCAGGAATTCTCCTCCTCAAGTAATGCAGGCCAGAAGAGCAGCTCCCCCTGGGCTAACCAAATGCTGTTTTCTCAAGACAAACTTGTAACAGACTCTATCAGAAGTGATTATAATGGATTGTCCACATTCCATGAGTGACAGCATCTCTTAAAGTTCTTATCAACAAAGAAGAAGAATATCTTATAAAATCTCCTCAGCACATTAATACTCTTCGGTCCTGAGCTGTTTGGAGAATATGTTCATGGAAGAACTTAACACAGTCTTCTCATCATTCATGCTGTGTACCAGCATCTCTTGCATCAGCTTCAAGAAATGTGCGCAGATGATGCAATGCACTAGAAATTTGCATCAAGTAATTTTGCTCTCATCTGGTTTCAAGATCTTCATGAATTGCAGCAGATGTAGAGATACTCTGTCAAGAATCAAAGAAAAATGTGGTGTAATGGATCACAGGTCCTTCTGCCTCCTAAAGACAAAACAGATAATATGGTATCGTTCCTGATGACTACTCATCTAACTTGCCCTGAGTAGACTTCAGATGAGATTTCAGACTGCTTTGGTGCATTTCAAACAGCCCAAGAAGTCATGGTAGCTGTTGCAGCTCTCCATCACCTGGCCTGTCCGGATAGGTCCATGCTTTAACTTTTTCTTGATCCTGCTCAAAGGCAGTTTTTCAAGACAACATAGTTTTAGACACTTTCAAGACAAAAGAAGAGGGATTGAATCAAACAAGGGAAAAGTGCAAAACCATTCCCTTACCCCAGGATCTTTGTCTAATTTAAAATCTGCAACCAAATTTACAACTTCTCCACCCAGTGACAGAGTGGTTAATTTCTGTAGCCACAGTTTGTCCGCTGAAGACTTCTGTAAATATTGCAAGTCCTGCAAAAACAATCTCTTGAAATGGAAGAAGTTCTTCTATGCTTTCATTATAACCCTTCAAAATTTTCTGAAGTACAGGATATTGTAGACTGTTTTTTGCACCTTGGAAACTGAAGAGAAAATCACCTTAAGAAGGCATTCAGTGTTTTTCCACAAAATGGCCTCTGATTTTTGGATTAACCTATTTACCTCAATTTTTTATAACACTTCACAGAGAAAGCAGAAAAGAGATGACAAAAACTGTGAGCATAGCACAGCACAATTGCCTAGAAAGAACAAAGTGGTTCAAATTTTGTCCAATTTCTCAAAGACCCCCAGGTATGGACATTTGTCACACCAGAGGATACCCAAAAATGTATGATTCTGTAAAACAAATGTAATTAGCAAACTACTTGCAAGAAATGTGTTTGTTTAGTTAGATTTTCTTCTGGTGCAGATATTTTCTTACAGATGTTGCATGCAAGAAGCATTTTGCTGGTTTGATCATTATAACTTGGGCAAACTTCTAGAGGTTTTGAAGAATTCAGCAGAATTATGGTGTGCTCATTTTCAGCTGTGCTTTTTGCAGCTCCCTGGCTGAGGTTTTGGTCTGGAAGCCCTTGTGCAGTGTTTTACTTGTATAAGACTAAAAGTTAGTTGCAAATAACTTGTATACATTGATGTATACAAGCATACATGCAGTATATCTTCAAGATACACACCCACATGCATGTTTATCTTCAGCCTTAAGTCTGTTCATTCGGCATCTTGCTCTTGAGATGAAGTGACATTGAGACTTTCTGCTCATGGTTGCCCTGAATAACATGAAGGGAACACGAAGTGTGCAAGGGCACCTGTGAGGCCTTCTGGACCAACAGGGAGTGGGAATATGCTCCAGCAGGACTTACTTACAGGCTGGGCGTCTCAAAGAACCTGCATTACTGGGAGGAAGTCTGAAGCATAAGTGTCCAGTGTTCTCCTAGAGGTTTCAGAGATTTTGCTAGCCAAAATGTTCAAGACATACATGTGTAAAGGGTAGTAAAAAGCATTGAATGCCTCAAGCATGAGTTACTGCCTCTGATTTTTCTGAGGATTCTCATGCAGCACTCATGGGGTCTATGAAGAGTTGCATCAGAGAGAGGGAGGTTTGCATCCTATATGGAAAATAATGCATTTTTACTGAATTTGGCAGAAGACGCCTTCTTGTTGTGAGACTTGGCATTAACTTAGCACAAGGGAGTCATTAATTTTTCTCATGCTCCTAGTCAAAATTAATTGCTTTTTAAATAAGCCACAATTTATTTCGCAGTTGAAAATGGTTATAAAACATGTGGTTATCTAAAGGTCACAACTTTGTCAACATTAAGTGCAATTTTATCTTCAAAAACATTCATTTGTGTAAGAAAGCTATCCCTATTTCTTACTTTTATTAAATAAATTAAATCCCAAGGAGAATGATATAGCATGTGCTTCCAAAGACACATATAGAAATGAGGTCATGTCCTCTTTTTAATTACAATTGCTATTCATTCCTTCAGCACAGGAAAAAGTTACAATTCTAATCAGCTAAAATACACACTTAAGAATTCAGATTAATCAAAGGTACTGGGAAAAGTCTTTGATTACTGTTTTTCAAAGGAAGCTAACTACACTATCAAAGCAATAGACTGGGTAGATTATTAGATAGGGTTCTGTGAAGGCTGAGGGAAGTTGCTTATGAGACAGTTTTTTTGATTCAACTCTCACTTTCTGTTTGCTTTTAAAACTTAGAGGCACAGGCACCAAATACCTTGTGATCTTTAGCTGCAGTGAAACCAAAACTGTATAATATCACTGGAATGTCGGCACTTGCTGACTTAATCCTGTACCCATAGTAGCTGTACTCTGTTTCCTCCACTGTGCTGCCTTTAAGTCCTTTGAAAGACAACGGGAAGAAAAGACTTTAGGTGGACACAATGCCAGCATCCTGTTCTTGAAATATTTCATTATCTCGTGTCTAGTTTGTATCCTGAAACCTTCCCTGCTATGTGTCAGCCGTTTATCCCATGGATATCGAGCCACTAGGGCAGAGTGTACAGGCTGAGGCTTGATCCTGAACATGGTGTATAGGCAGCTGGGAAACAAGATCCTGTGTGCCTGGACTCTGGAGCTGGATTTATGGCTGGGGTGCAGCACTGTGCAAAAGCAGCCATTCAGCTGCATGACCCAGCTGCTAAAAGCCTGAAATGGCTGTGTTGCATCTGGTGAGCTGCATGAAAAGCCACCCATCAGCACAGGAGGGCCCACAGTGTGGTCCCTGTCCCACGGGGCTGTGGTGTGAGCAGTCTCCCCAGGCACGTCCTGGCTGGTGTGACACACCAGCTCTGCTTGGACTTGCCTGCTCTCAGGGGCACGCCTGAGTCGGGTCACTTCAGCTCAGGGGTTTCTGTGTGGAGGTTTAAACATGTCCAAAGAAGACTATTTTAAATTTGCATTAGTAGGTATCTTTTGTGTCTGTCTTCTAAATGTGCAGCTTGGATTTCTTTTTAACTGCATTACTGTTATGATGTGCTTTTGTGATAGATGCAGATGGCAGATGAGTCATATTTGCTAGGAGTAAATCATATACAAACTCAAATTTCAAAGCCCTCTGGAAATATGAGAAGTTTGATGACACGATGAAGGGAAAATAACAAAGAATCTTAAAGTGTAGTAAACTTGATTTCCATGTATGCACACAGTTGCTTCAAGTTATGTTGAAACTATTAAAAGTTTCATCAGTTTTGACATCATCTAATAATTCAGTTGCCTTTTTATTTCAGATGTTGATGAATGCGTTCAAGACAGCAATGTTTGCCTAAGAGGAAGCTGCATAAACACTGAAGGGTCTTACAAGTGCACTTGTCCAGATGGTTTCCAGCAGATAGCGAATAGGGGATGTCAAGGTATGAAATAGGTGTCAAGAATACCTGGATCATTATTGTAAAAGTGCAGGTTTGTAAGTGTAACTTGTGATAGTCACAGATCATGCTAAGGAAGAGAAACTCATTTATCATTTGCAGTACTGTCTTGCTTTTCTTATTTTCTATTCTCATGCATTTTATTCTCTCTGTAAATATATGCGGAGAAATTATTTCAAGAGGCTGAAGTCTCAGCCTTCATAACTTGAAAAGAACCTCTGTTAGAACTAACAGAGATGCAGTGCTGCTTTTTCCTGAATCCTGGAAACTTTTATTTTGACAGTATGTGTTATGAATCAGAGCTGTAACAAGAACTGCATTGTTTGCATCAACTCACATTAGATATTGCTTCTATAAAATACTTGTATTACTTTGTGGAGGATGGGTGGGGAGGAAGAGAATGTGTTATCTGAACTGAGTCAGCATTGTCAAAACCAGGAAAACACTTCCAGGTTTTAGTTCTGAACAATCCCATCTTCATGTTGGCACAAGACCCAGGCATGCCTCATCACTTTTGCCCACCATTTTTGTGAGACAAAAACTGTTGTATTAGAGCTGGTAAATAATATGCTCATGTTCTAAATGGCTGAAGGACCAGAACACTGGACTGGACTTTGCTTTTGCTGGTCACTTATGCACAGTTTAGTCTTGAGCTAAGAAACTGGATTCCAGCTCCACTTTGAAGGTCTTCTGCAACAAACACTAAATTCCCTGTAAAAGTTCTGAGTATTCTATGCTTTCTAATTCAGAAAATGTTGCATTCAGCATACAGAAGTGCTGTATTAGACCTTGCTTTAGCAGATAAAAGAGAATTGACCACAAGCTGAAATCAATGGCAGCTTTGATACCCCTCTAATCTCTTTACTTTGCCATCTAAAGTAGTAGATATATGCCTCATATTTTAAATGGATAAATGTAACAAAACTGAAAGCACTTATGAGCCAGCTAAGGGACAGACAGTGCAAACAGAGAGCTATTGAATTAAACTGGCAAATTTATCACAGGGTGCAGTGTCTGCAAGTTGAATCTGGACTAGACTGGAAGTTAGGGATATGCATTTTGGTAAGGAGAAAGTTGAAAAGACTCCAAAATACGAGAAACTGCAGTTTGCTCTTTCAGAGGTATTGTACTCAATTTCCCTAACACTGGTAATTTTGTTTTCCTGTCTTTTAATACATCATTCTACTTTGTGTAATCAGCTGGTTCAGTTTCCAGTATTTTTCTGGCAGTTTTAAGACAGCTGAGTCTTGAGTACACTATGAGAAAGTACAATACTGTCCTTGTCATTGCTGATCTCCCACTATTCCCAACTTTCGGAGGGCTTCGGGAAGTAGTTGATGGTTTGCACTTGCTATGAATTCAGAGAAAGCTTTGTACATGTATGTGTCATGTTCAGCACAGTGCACTTAGTTTTCCTTAGGCACCTCATGCAGATACAACTTCCCCAAGCTGCTCCTTCTTTTCTTTCCTCTTATGGCCATGATTTCAGGACACTGATTGGAAGGTTTACACACAGGTAGAATCAGTTTGTAGACAGAGAAAATTCTATAGTGGATGGTCTTGAGATGATGATATTGAAATCATTATTTCTCAAGTATATAAAATTGCTGGCTACTTTGATAGATTCTGGATGGCTGTAAGCAGCAAAAGGTACAGTTAAGAATGAGAAATTCTAGTGTTTGGATAAGGGATGAATAAGCCTCATGGGTCAGTTTTGTTTGTAAATTTGTCTTTGGTCTCAGCATGGTACTGAATGCTTCTTAATGGGTTTTTGTAAAGCAAAAAATACAGAAGTACAATTACAACGTGAATGATAATTGATATAGAATTGGTAATACCTTAATGAAATAATAAAGTCCTTAAGTTCTGAGGGCAGATTTGGTTGCTAACATGAGACATCAATCAAAAGGAAATACTTGTTTTTCAGATTCACAAGTTTAAAAAATGCTTTCTAAGTTAAAAATAGAACAAAGCAAAAGAGACTATGATAAACTCTTATATAGCAATCTTTTGGGATCATTCCCACTCCCCATCAGCAAGAAAGAGCATTTGGCTTTAAATTATGTAAAATCAGCCTTCTGGGAAAGATGCAGCTCCAAACCTGCTAGTAACATGTGGAGTCAGATGCCCAAGTTGACCAGTGTGCAGCTGTCAGAAAGCAGTGAGGTGAGGCTGAGAATACCTGTAACACAGAAGAAATGTTGGCTAGGGTGGGGCTTATGCTGATTTCCCACAAATCACTCTCTGCTTATCCTCATCACAGAGTGATGTAGCAAGAGTAAGATGCAGAACATATTGATATCTATACAGAGTTTAAAAATGATCCCAGGAGATTTGGTTGCTCTGGAAGATGAGCTATTCACACCACTATTTACATAGCCAGTGGAAATAGAAGCTGCTTTTAAAATTAATTAAACTTAGGCTTAATATTAAGGCTGTGATGATTTGCAAAGCTCTTAATGTCTCTGTGCTTTCAGATATCAATGAATGTGAGAGATCTGACCTCTGCTCTCCACATGGAGAGTGTCTAAACACGGATGGCTCCTACCAGTGCATATGTGAGCGGGGCTTTTCTGTGTCTGCAGATGGCCGAACATGCGAAGGTGAGACAAGCTATAATAATTCATTCCCGTTGATTTGCTGTTGTTAGGAGGGTGAGAAAAGTAGTCAGTCAGTCACTACTAACTCTAAAATCTGCCACTTAAGTTTCTATGGGTAAGACACGCTTGAATATTTAGGATTATCTAATTTGAAGCTATCAGCAAGCCTGAGCTACCTGAATGTTGTCACTGCTGTGTGGAAGACAACAGAACCTTGTTTGTCTAAACTTTTATTGAAAATATGCAGATTAAGCAACAGAACAGTAACTCCAGTGAGAAGTTGTTGTGAAATCCAGTAGCTCTATCATAGAACTTCAGGCATTTTGAGATGGCAGAAGTGGAGTTAATAGCAGTAATTAGATCTTTATAGAAACATCAACCAGGAGCCTGGAATTCAGGGTAACTATGTTTTTTATGTTGCTATGTCATGAGAATATATCCTGTTGATATTGATGTACACACGTTTGCAAGTGATGCTGCTCTCCTCCACTGAATTTAAACCAGGACACTTGTGCCCAGTGATACCAAGAAGGTATGTGGCTTTGTGAAGTCAGTGATGCTGATGGAAAATAAGCACTTCCCTAACTAGGTTAAGAATGGCTATTGAATGGTTGAGAGGAGTGTTCAAGACAGTAAGTCTTGTCAGAAAAGTTCAGAAGGGGAAAAAATGATATGGTAGTATTTCAGCTGGATGCACGCTGAGGCGAAGCACTGAGCAGATGATAGCTCAGTCTTAGAACCAATGGGAAGATCATCTCAAGCACCCAAGAAGTAAGCAACATTCTCTCTCCCAAATTATAGGCCAGTAAATCCATATGTGATTGGTTTTCACAGGTTAATTCTTCTCATAGTTCACTTAGTGAACTATAGTGAAAACATTTCTCCTTTGGTAGATGAAGTACACTGAAACTTGTGTCTGACTGTTGTAGCTCCCTGCTTATACCAGAGGAAAATGAGCATTACAGCTTTATTACTGAAGCTGGCGTATAACCTGCCATATATTTAGTAATGTGATCTCTCATGAAATGAAATACTGTGCTGGCAGGAACACTGCTATGGTTGATGTCAGGGAATAAGTGCTGTATATTTAGATATAGTATAACATCAAACACACCATTTGTGTTTTAATTATTATTGATAATTATAAAAACTTCTCCAGTGCCCTTTAGTGCTTTTTTCTCTCCAAACATTTACTTCATTTTGTAATCATGGCATAAGTTGAAAGAAATATTCTCTTATTGCCAAGACAAAAGCCTGGTCAAGGAGGCTGCAGAGAGCAAATCTGAGTAACTCCACTGATTCATGGAGGAGGCAGTATTTTATGATTTGAAGTAATGGGGATAATTCCAAAGCAGTTAGTGGACTCTCTGATCAGCATGTATACCTTTCACCCAGTGTTCGGGAAGGATATGGCCACATGTCTTCAATTGCTCTGCAAGAAAAGTAGTAGCAGGTGTTTTTCCTCACTCTTGAGCATAGCTATAAAAGAGGGGGGAAAAAGTGTCTAGAAAAGAATACAACCTTCTCTTTGTAGAAGCCAAACACTTAATTTCAAAATTAACTTTGAAGAATGCTTATTAACCTTGTGAAATCAAGCTCCCAGAAATTAAAAAAGCACAACTGAAAAGGAACACAACTGTAAAAAAACCATCCAAAGTCATTACCGTCTACTGTTAGGAGATGTACCAGAAACAATGAGCTCCTCTGCATCTCTGACATTTAATAAAATATCAGTTTCCAGGGAAAGGTTGCTATCATATATGATGAAGTAATACAGAATTAATCTCCGTTAGAATGAAAAAGCCAAACTTTTACTAAATAGAAAAAGATGAAATCACAAAATCTTATTTCCAGGATTGTGACTAGTTTTGGAACTTTTTAATGAAGAATAAAACGAGTACAAAACCAGTTGAGCATGCTTCACAAGTAATTGGTGTTGTGTATGGAATACAGATCAGACTTCATATTCAGCACTTGGAAAAGTATTTTAATAACTTGGCAAAGCAAGGGTACTTCTAGTCTCTGAAGCAGCAGCACTCCTTTTCCACCACAATTAGTTTCTCCATTCTGTCATTTTAATAAAAACAACTCTATAGTTTTGAAAAAAACTCATTTTAAGGGAGCACTGATGGCATCAGTGTCAATATTTGTAGTGGTGTCAGCTTCATGCTCAAAGGCAAGACGAAACAAAAGGAATGTGTGACATACTGAGAAAGCATGTGGCTTCCAGCCGCAGGAGCTACTGTTCTTTACACTAAGTGCCTCTGTGAATTTAATTCTAGTTAAGTGAGTGAGAATAACTGTTTATACCATCAAAGGAAGAATCTGAGAAAATTTTCCTGGATTCACACACCTCTCTGTACCTGGGAAGCAGATTTTCCATATCTCCAGACTTTTTTTTGTATGAGTTTGACTTGGGTTTTTTTCAAGTTTGAAACAACAACAGCATAAAACATTTAAGGACCTCATGTGGTTTAGTTCTGGTGTGGAGTTTTTGTGGCCATTGGCCAAAGTAAACTGAACAGCTGTGGAGACTGTGTCTTCTCCCAAGGTGTAGACAAACTTTTGTTGCAGCAGTGACATTCCACTGCAGCCTGGCCCCAGGCTGAGAAATTTGACTGCACCGGGCTCTCTGAACTGCAGGCTCTCCGAGTGCTCCTTAGTTCCTTGTTGAGCTCTCTGGGGTTCATATAAAGATGGTGTTTTACCCAGCTGGCTACTAGTCAAATGTGTTGGCAAAACCTCAAGTTAGAGGTTCTCTGATGTTTAAGTCAGTACTCTGCCTCAAGCACCTCTTCTGTCTCCATGTCCCATCCCATGTGTCTCTCATTGGCTTCTCACTGCTGCAACAGGCAGTCCAAAAAAACTTATCCCATCAGAGCTCTCTGATCTCTACTTCTTCCTTTTTATGTATGCATGTTATGGGTAGCCCTGGAAGTTTCAGAATCAGAGCTCTGCTTCTCTAATCACTACAGACCTCTGTTAGGAACCAGTTCCTCTTCCAGATATGTTGCTAAGTAAGGAGATTGCAGTGAGATTTAATTATCGTGGCTGAGGTAGAGGTTGCCTTCATCTTGTTCAGGTTGTCAGAAAACAGGAGTACAGTGTTGAACTGTACAAAAGCGTGCGTGAGTGCACACATCTTGCCTTTTGATTAAAGCAGGCAGCACTGATTAATGGATTCTAAAATAGGTTTTAATTACAGAGAACTGCTTTAGTCACTCTATAGACATAGGATATATTAGTTTCATACTTAGTTTTTTCCCCTGACTTTGCTTCCATGTAGCAAGAGAATTGCCGATTACAAGTCTCACTCTTTATGGGGTAATTAAAGAAACAAATGTCCTTTCCGGCTGTAAAAAAGAGTCCTTTGAGTGAACTGTCTAGACAAGGAAAAATATTTAGTGCTCGGACCTTCTCTGTAATATCCCATGCACTGGAAGATGTTCAGACTGTACTTTTTAGAAAAAAAAACTGTCTTCTGTGGTTGTGTTATGTGCTGAATTAGGACACTTGCTACAATCACAAGTTTTGTTTCTGCAGCTTTTTTAGTCAATGACCTTGTTTTACCTGTGAAGAACCAGCAGCATGAACCATTCCCCTGTTTCCTTTAACATTTAGGTTTTAAGTAAGAAGAGTTCTGTAATTTGGGTAATTCTGAAATGTCCAGTTGTAGTTTCTTCTGTGTAGGTCTTTAACAGTAACTGTCCCGTGGCTGAGGAACTTTTTGTTATTTAACCATAGTTGTTCACTGAAAACACAAACACCATGTTATTATGTGTTGTCTGAAATTCCAGGCAGTCAAGCCACCATTGTTTACTCATTTTGAATTCCTTTTCTTAACAGAGTTTTCTGATTAAGAGACAGAGTATTCAGATTTTTTTACTAGATATGTGAAACTCTGCTGATCATATGAGACTATTAATATTAAATATGTAATGCAGGGACAGTGCACAGCATTACATATTTAATATGTAATTAAAGCAAGAAGGAGGGACCAGAAAAACACAGCTGTAAACAATTTTTGTCTTCCTCCCAGTAACTCCATATGCATCTTTTTATAATTCTGTCACTGTGGGGACTTGAAAAGAAAAAGGTATAAAAAGTAGTTCTTGACCCTTCACCTCTGAGAGTCTTTAACACAGATAAGCTGCTTATTCACGTTGCTGAATTAATTCTACTAGGAAGGGTTTGTGGTAGGTTTCAATAAGTTCAATATCCAGAAACCATCCAAATTTTTGTATTCAATTCCTTGAGAATAAGCACACTGGCTATTGTATTCTTTGCCAAATACAATAGCCCTTTCTAAAATAAATTCCTTGAATATTTTTCCTTTGCTTAATAAATCAAGATGTAAATACCATTAAAATCTTTACTACAAAACTTACAAACCAAATAAATTTTTCTGCCAGTTCCATCTGCAAGTACTTTTTTATAATCATCAGTTATAGTCATAGATGTGTCCTAGATTTTGGTGTATTTAGTGCATACAGTTTTTGCCTGCATTTTGTATGTAGGCTGAAGTTTGTTAACCGGTGGATCAGTTCAACAGGAGAAGTGAGTTTTCCATCACTTAAACACCCTAACATGAAACTACATGACTTTCTGAGAAAAATGTTAAAATTTCTGTTTGTTCCATTGGTACAGAAATTGCCAGAGACAGGTTTTTTAGCCTTTTTAAGAGGTTCTGGATAGACTCTTCTGGCCTTAAAAGTCTACATGTGATTCCAAACCTGTTCAGACCCCACCACAGCACACAGGAAAAGCTGGTTTTCAAGATCCCAAAAACACCAGTCCCTGAAGCACACAAAGCTTGTGTAGATAAATTTGAGCACTTGGGTTGCAAGAGGGCAGCACAATAGATAACAGGTGTGGATGGTAATGATGTGCTGCTGCTCAAATTTTGGTAGCTTGTGGGTTTGTGACCAGAGAGTTCAAAGACCAAGAGTTCCCTTTCAGCTGAGCATAAAACAAAATTTAAAAGTAAAAATGTCTTTGGTTGGTGAGTACTGTCAGGATAAGAATGCAGTGCATCTTTGCTGAGTTCTCTAGGATTTTGTTTGATGCAGCTGTGGAGAACTGGAGGAGTAGGCAGGACTACATTTGAGCCCTACTTTGTCCTTACAGAAAAGCACCAGGTGCTGCTCACCTGTTTGGAGAAGGCTTCTCTCTGTGGCACTGCAGGATTCAGTTCCAGCAGTTCTTTAGTTCAGGGAGTGCCAAAGACCTTCACTGGAGGAAAAATGGTGATAGGCTCCATCACATGAAGGGCTACCAAAATGTGCAATAACAAGCGCTCAAATCACTTTATTCCCCATTTAAAGTGCAATTATCCCTTGAGGAAATATGCCGAAGGAAAGCAGACAGGAGCCTTACTTAACAGCATAATGTTTTTTAGGAAAGAAATACAGCAGTAATTTCTCTGCTTCAGACTGCAGAGGAATACAGAAGGCATAAGGTACTAATCCTAGTGTCCTGGCAGTTCACAATTTCAGCTAATGTTCTTCCTCTTGAAAAGCACCTCATGACATCTTTCATGACCACATATGGCCAGGGTTTTGGGTTTAGGTCTTACTTTGAGTGGAGATAAAAAGAATGCATTCCTAGCACTTGTAATACACTTACAAAAATAAAGCACAGTCTGCCACAAGCAGCTCTGCTTCATTGTAATTTGATGGGCAGCTGAGTCAAAGAACACAGTTACATGTGAAAGGGACTTACAAGTAAGGCCAGCAAACCAAAAGTGGAACTAAAAATGAAAAGGCCAGTACAGAAAACATTCTGGCATTGGCATTACTTTGTGTACCTGAGTAAGATGACTTGTACGTGTAGATTTACAGGACTTCAGACAGAAGGCTCAGTCCACAGATGCTTACCACTTACACTATGAAACTGTGATCTGTGCAGAGAGCCAGAATGACATCTGTGCAGCACTTCTGCACAGGGGATGTAGCTATACCCTTGAACTCTTTTTGTAGGCACAGTGAGTTCAGTTTCATTCATGTTGTTGACTGTATAATACTGCACTGGTAGAATCTGTAAGTCAGTCAGAGAAATTATTTAAGCCATGTCTTAGTCTGTGGTATGTAACATCATGCTGTGGTTAGCAAGTTTGGTGAAACAGATTGGTGGAGGCAAGTGACCATTGCTGGCATGCTAACTGCAAAGCTAACACTGAAAGGATTTCTTAAATTGTTTGTGTGCTTCCATTAATTTTTGCATCTTGTCCTTGTGTTCTTTCCCAATGTGTTGAGGTATAGCTGCATCTGTTTGCCAAGTGGCCCATCTGTGGGTGTTCTGCACTCTTTGTGAATGTCTGCCTTTGGCTGTCACACAGCCTGTCTGATGATAAAATTCTTCCTTGCAGATGTGGATGAATGTACGAACGGCACGGTGTGTGGCACCCACGGGTTCTGTGAAAACATGGATGGCTCCTACCGCTGCCTCTGTTACCAAGGCTACCAGGACACACAGGATGGGCAGGGGTGTACAGGTGAGCTCACGGTGCTGGTACTCACTGCTGCAAAGCTCAGGAGAGCTGAAACAGCATTCCAACAAAACGCATTTCACATTTTTGTTTTCTGACATTTTTATTAAAGTTATGCCACTTACTAGTGAAATAGGGTTGAGCTCTTCTTTACTCACTGAACTTTCTGCCAGATGTAAACTTTACTTTGTATCTATTTAATGAAAACCTGTTATTAGGACAAACAGAAGCCAACAGCAAATAAGCTGAACCACTTATTTCTTTCAAAAAAGCCAAGAAACTTCCTTGTTTGTGGATATCAGGACCATTCACAAATATAATAGCATGAATTTAATATCTTAGCCTATTTAAGTGCTACATCTGTTTAGTCTCTTAGCTGAGTAAGCAGAATCCTGCACTACCCCCTGCAGGAAATAACATCTGGAATGTGGCGCAGCCAGGCTGAATTAGATGGCACCTCCCTAGGCATATGGTGTTTAAGCAGATTTTAACATTAACTTCCAGCTCCAGGAGAGACACCTATCACCTTGAAATGATGTGGGATTTTTGTAGATGTGTAAATACTGCACATTTCTTTTGTGACTAATAGGTTTCCAGATCTGTTATTAATAGTGATGGCTGGAGAACCAGTTGAGGCAGCACAAGTTTGTAATATAAAATTAATACCAGATCAAGGAGAGGTATTCATTAAGCAATTTCTTCAAGCCAGACTCAGGATGAAGCACATTTACCAGTAACAGAGACCTAAATGGAATACCAAACAGAGAGGAGGAATTAGAAGTTTTACAGAGTGTTTGTGTGCATTTTCTAATATATTAAGTAGTTTTGTTACAAAATTCTTTGTGCCATTTGCACTTACTTTGCTGCATGCCAAAGTATATTTTGTGACTTTCCATGGATGAAAACAAATGAAGCAAAGAAAGTAAAAAATAAAAGGGGAAAGGAAAGGATGGTGTGAAACTAAATTTAATTTTGAGTTCACACTGAAGTAATTTGGAACCACAAAATAATGCATTTGTTAATTTTTTTTCTTGTATAATACTGTATAGTATATAATACTCTTATAAATTTTGAAGCCAGTTATCAGCCAAAACAATTTAAGGAAAAATTAAGTCTCTAGTTCCTGACTAGGCAATGTTCCCCAAAGAAGACTTATTCCCTATGACAGGAATCCAGTAAAAAGATAAAGAAAAATCTGAATGCATTTTTTAAATGTGAGCAAACTCTAAGTTAAAATCCATATTTGTATAAAAACACACACAAATCAATCTTCATTCAGATTTTGATAGGCAAGAGGTAAAAAGGATTAAATACTGCTTCACAAGTTAGACCACACTCAGTTATAGAAGTTTCTGAATTGTGATACAGAAATTACTATTTCTGATATTAACCAGCATAATTTCTGTCCATTAATGAGATTCTCTCATTAGAAGTAGATTTTCAAACGTCAACGTTAGCAACTAAAAAGAAAGTAATGTTAAATGATCTTGGTAGTATTTGGTAATTCTTGCTAAAACAACAGACAATTCTATCAGTCAAAAAAGCATTTCAGGTTGGCTAGTTAGCAGGTGTATGGAACCCAAGTTAAAAATATGTGGAATTTTTTGGAGGGAGGGATTTTGCAGTGTTCAGCAGTGGTCCCTGGGTGACCTGGGCACAACTTCTGTGGGTCCCAGAGCAGCCTGTGAGTCCATGCATAGACATATTGTTGCAGTGGGGCTGGGGAATTCTTTGTTTGGTGGTTGTTTACAAGAAAAATGGTATTTTGGGAAGGAAAATGAATTCTCTTTTTTGTAATGCAGTCTGAATCTCAACAAAACCTGTTCATTTTGCTCCTTGAGTTTAGTGAAAGTTTGATAATAAAGATAAGAAAACAAATTAAATTACTCTGAGTCTTAAATCCCAATAAGAGAATAGATAGAAAAGCAAGTATTTAAGAATGAGAAAAACCAAAAAAACTGTTCTGGTCCACAATCAGCACCTAATCAACATTAATAGTCTATAAACTGTACTGTGACTTTCAGGGATCTTTATTTCAAAGGACTTACTACTTGTTTATGAATCCACTTAGGTATTAGTGAGTTTTTGATCCTTCCCCAGAGATCACATCTGTAATCTGGCAGACAATATTGGCACAGATACAGCAGATAAAAGAACAGTCAGTAGTGGGTCTCAGTTGATTTATGTTTTGGATTTTTTCCCCAGATGTGAATGAATGTGAAATGTTGAGTGGAGTATGTGGCGAAGCGCTCTGTGAAAATGTTGACGGTTCTTTCCTGTGTCTGTGCTCTGACGAGAACCAGGAGTACGATCCCATGACCGGGCAGTGTCGCTTCCGTACCTCACCAGGTAAAATGCCAGCGGGTGTTTGCATGCTTGGCATGATTTCAGCTGCACACAGAACCATTGAAAGGCAAAGCTGGTTCCAGTATCGGTGTTGCTTTAACTAGAGGAGGAAAATTTAAAACTTCGTCATTGTCTTGAAAGTGTGTGCGTAAGAGGAGGTTTTTCTAGGACAGAAATTGTTATCAGTGAATCATTAGCAGGGAAAATATAGCAGAAGCACCTTCTAAATGTTATACATCAACAAACTTGGCAGTAATACTGAGCAGTTACTACAGGTAAGAGTAAATGGTCTCATTGACTGTACTGTATGAGTGAAATCTGATACGGAATCAAGTCTATGGCCTGAGTGATTTTGGTTTTTGTCCAAACTTTTACAAACACCCATTAGTATACTTGGACAATGTTTAAGGGAGCATATTATTAAAACCAGGAGTTATATTTGGTTGTTGTGGTTACACCCCAGATGGCAACCAAGCCCCAGGCAGCAACTTACTCCCCTAGAAAGCTCATGGGTTGAGATAAAGACAGATTAATAGAGAAAGCAAAAGCCATGCACACAAGCAAAGCAAATCAAGGAATTGACTGCTTCCCATGGGCAAGCAGGTGTTCAGCCATCTCCGGGAGAGCAGCGCCCCATCACGCGTAGCAGTGACTTGGGAAGACAAATGCCATTACTCCAAACATCCCCCCTCTTCCTCCTTCTTCTCCTCATTTAATATAATGAGCATGATGTCATTCAGTCTGGAATATCCGTTTGGTCAGTTTGGGTCACTTGTCCTGGCTGTTTCTCCTTCCAACCTCCCACGAACCCCCAACTTCATCACCAGTGTGGCAGAACAAAAAGCAGAAAAGGCTTTGGCTCTTTGTAAGCCCTGCTCAGCAATAACAAAAACCCTGTATTATCAACCCAAATCCAAAAACCAAACCCATACCAGCCACAGTGAAGAACTCTGTACCAGCCAAAATCAGCACAATAGCCTTACTTTATTAGCATTATCTAGAATTAATATTAGTCCTAAGTGAAGGTTGTTGGGAAAGCAAAAACCAAGCCACTACATTGGTGTTAAACTACCTCTGTTGTCAGTCTCTCTTGAAGAGTCCCTGCCTGGTTTACTCCTGTTTTTCCTACTAGTCCATTGTACTGGATCTTTGAGCTTTTCTTATAAAGTGTTTTGGGTGTTGAAAATACTACTGGAAATACATTAACTGAAAATTAGTTTAGAGCTCTTAAGGCTGCCTTCACATTTCTATACTGATCCAGTTTGGCGAAAGGAACAAATTCACACGAGGGTGAAAAGAGCACAAGAAATGACAGGATTTACTTGCACAGCTTTTTTCCCCTCCAGAATGCAAATCTTGGTATTTTTTCCTTGTTTTCTTACACTGCAGGCTGATGTAACTTCCGGAATGCCTTAGAGGAATCGGCTTTTTTGCCAGGATGCTGACTTTACAGCTTCCAGACTGTGGCTATTTTCTCCTATCACTCATGATCTTTCAGACTTGTAAGGAGGGTTGAAATATCCATGACCTAATTGTCACAAATATTTAGATCACTGAATGCAGCACTCAGCAGCACTCAAGAAGTTGCCTGTGAAATATCATTAACAGCTGATTGATGAATGTTATGGGCCTGTGAGGAGGCAGTACTCAGGAGAGCTCAGCTAGCTGATGAAACAAAACCAGAACTAAAAAATTAGCCCAGGACCTGAGTCATGTAGAAAGAACTCGCATCCAAGGGACATTTGAGGACATACCCTAACACTGCTGTGGGAGGAAGGGGATGAAGAGCACAGTATGACCGATTGTACTGTAAACAGATGGATACTCCACTGTCAGTACTTGTTCCATGATGCTATCAGCAGTGAGCACAGCACTGCTGTGATCAGTCTGGAAAGTAACTGTTCTTCCTTTTCCTCCAGGCTTCATCAGGCTCTAACAAAACACATGCTTTGCCTCTGTCTCTTCTCTGATAAGGTCATCAAGATCTCTCATAGGAAAGCACAAGGAGCTAATGAGAAGTACTTTATGTCATATGGTCTTGGACTAGAGTAAGGCAAAATGGCAGTACATCTTACTCTCGTCTTTTCTTCCAAAGTGAAAGAAGAAAAGACTGTTGTTATAAACTTCTTATAAACTATTCTTGCTGCAAAGAATGCTGGATTAGCCACACATCCTCTCCAGCTTTGACAAGGCACGTACTCAAGTCAGGCGTGGTGCTTCCAGAGCTCCCGTGGTGCAGATGGACATCATCTGTCAGCATTAGTTTGCACCATGCTTATGAAAGGCACAGCCTAAAAGGCAGAAAGGAAGAACTTAATCTTTGTTATCCTGTTACAGATATCCATAATTCAGACTGGCTCACCCAGGTCTTGCTTATTTCTCATTCTTCATGTTTGTGCATAAAGAAATGTTTGCCCCCCCTTGTATGAAATGCAAATAGGTGACATTTGTTCAAATGCTACTTTAATTTAGCACTTTTCTTACATGTGGTTAAAGGCCAAGAGATTTGTGGAGTGCTGTGTGTTCACGCTTTTCTTTACTTACCCTTAGGGCTCTCAAGACTTCCTTTTATTTAGATTCCACTTGCTGGAAATTTGTCTGTTGTTAGCTGTGCCTTGAAACAATCCTCCCAGTGTATCTATCAGGAATTTAAGCCCCTATTATCACTTTCCAGTCAAAAAAACCCGAAAAACTGCAAAAAATTGTGCAAGGATTGATTGTCTCATTCCCCTCTTCTCTGCCCTGCCATTCATAAATGACTTGGATGCAGGACTGGAAGGGATACAGAGCGAATTCACAGAGGATACAGAACTGGGAGGAGCTGTTGAGTCCCTTGAGGGCAGAGAGAACCTGCAGAGAGACCTTGGCAAGTCAGAGAGCTGGGCAACCACCAACTGTATGAAGTTCAATAAGGGAAAGTGTCAGATTCTGTACCTGGGATGGAACAAAACTGGATGTAAGGACAGGCTGGGCAATGAGATGCTGGAGAGCAGTGCCACAGAAATTGACCTGGGGGTCCGGGTTGATGGCAAATTGAACAAGAGTCAGCAGTGCCCTGGCAGGCAGGAGGGTAACTCTGTCCCAGGGTGCATCAGGCACAGCATCACCCTGGAGATCTCCACTAAGGTACCTGGGCCTACTTAGGTACCTACAGCTAATTTAGATGTTGCCTTCTCCTGGCTTCATGAAATACAACCAGTTACTTATGGCAATATGTTTAACAGTAATTAAGTTAGGATTTATAAGTGAAAATCATGGTTTTGGTGGCCAAAACCATAAGTCCCTTCTAGACTGATTAATATTGAAAGAAAATTAGTCCCCCCTACCATCTAACCAACCACCAGCACAAAAAATTTGAGGCTGCCAAGTAACAGTTAATAAATTTGATCCTAAAGGTTCAAGGCTAGAAATTTGGTGCATGAGTACAGATTCTGAATTTCCTAAACATTATGGGCTTTCTAATTGTTAAGTGAGTTTCAGTTGTCTGTGGTCAAAGTCTTAGCTGTAAGTTTTATGTGTGCATCACTTGCACAATCCCTGAATTGTATATATGCATGTATATGTACTGTACACACACGTGTTAGCTTGTCACATGTGGGGTCAGTTGAGAAATCTAAACAAGTACACCCTGACAATAGGCACATACCAATATACTTCTACTGTATTCTTGAAAATCAGATTCTGAAAGTGAGAATTCTTACTGGAATTCTTACTCAAGCTGTTTGCTCAGAGTTATCATTTGCTGAGTTTTTAGAAGTCATGATGTTATGATGACCATTTTTCAGTTTTGCAACCAGTTTTCTGATTGCATCTGTAAGCGTTGTTGGTACGCAGTTGCAGTATTTAAGATCCTGTCAGTTCTGTGTTTTGGGTTTTTTCAGATCACAGTTGTTAACAGAACACTATTTAGGCAAATATTTCAGTATATGCTGAAGTCTAAGCATATGCTAATCCATATTATCCACTGAATCCTATATTACTGATGCATTTTTTTGCATCAAACTTATGCTAAGCATATTGTAGGATCATGTTTATGCTAAGGTATATAAATCTATTTGTAAGAAATAGATTTTTCAGAATCCAATCCAGCAGCAGCTATACAGAATTTCTCTCATAGGCTATTGATAGAACAGTTGTATCAAAAATGTGGTAAAATTATTTTCCTTCACCAGCATGTCTTAGGTATAGATATTTTACATTTTCTAACAAAAAAGACCCAAACTACAATGATTCATTCTCTTATAATATTTTATCAACATACCTAATGAAATCACTTTCAGAGACAGCCTGTTTGCTAAATGGTTAATAATCTATGACAGAGAAATTATAAGCTTGTAGACATAGGCTGGTCTTGGTTAAAAAAGGAAAAAAAGGTTTGCGTCTCATTTGCTTTCCAAACATTCATGACACCTTCTTGACTAAGCCTCGCTTACAGCTGTGTAAACAACAGCCATTTAAGCTGCTGAACAGATAATGGGAGGAGAAACCAACACATCATATGTAAAATGGGAATAAACAAGGACATGATGAGACTATCTCCCCTCCCTCCCAGGGCAGCTTCTGGTGTTCTTTCTCTGATAAACGGCATGAAAAAAGCCATGCTTTCTCTTCTAATGAAGATTTGGCTTTAATTCAGCTAGACAGATGGCAAATGGCCAAGGAAAATGTATAAATTGGTGACTGAAGTACTGCTCTCGCACCTTGGAATGGCAGATTTAGTTCAGCTGCATTTCTGTGATATGATAGTCTTAATATAGTTCCTATTGGGATAACAACTGATACCACAAAACCACCTCAACTGATGAAATTCAACACATTATGGAAAATTGTAATTATCAGATGAGGGTTGACCACAGGCTAAATTAACAAAGCTGAAATAAGCAGCCAGCTGGGTGTATCCTTTAATGTATGATTTAGTTATATTGGCAAAACTGCAAAGCCTTGTAGGTGGCAACGTTATACTGAATTTGAATGGAGGTGTCTGCCAGACTTCCAAAACTGAAGTCACTTTTCTGAGGAAAATAGAAGTAAATCCAATTGTCTGTGTCTAATTAGAAACCAAAAGAACTATTACACATGTTCATACTATTGAAGTGCAATAATAGGCAATCCATGCTGACATTTTTAAATCTGCTTTTCTCCAAATGAATCTGGTATTTGTATGCTCACTAAAATTCCCTTGCTCCATCTGCTTTGGGGAATGTGGGTGGGCAGTGATAATAAGATTGAAATAGCAAGAGCTGAAATTCATTTAATTCCTTCTGCATTTGTTGGACATCAGTATCTTCAAGCTCCCACCTCACAAACACTTCTTAAGTGAGATCTTAAAACCCACTCCAGAGTTGCTTGCCTCTTGTTTCAAAGGTGATTCACTGTTTTTTCCCAAGGTCCAGCCAAAGCTCTCTCTTCAGGCAGGCTGATGATCTTCCCACCTGTCCCATCTTTTGACACATGGGGATGGCCTGCTCCTGCACCTTTAAGGTTTTCTTCCTAAAGTACATCCAGCCCTCCCAGACTTTTTTGCCCTTCAGGACTGCTGCCTTACAGAGTCTCTCAATCAGTCTCCTAAAGAGGTGAAAGTCTGCCCTCTGGAAGTCCAAGGTGGCAGATCTGCTGGCACCCCTCCTCGCTTCCAAAGAGTCACAATCACTGTCATTTCCCGATTGCTTTTCCCACGATGGCCTCTGACCATCACATCACCCGCCAGTCCTCCTCTGTTCACAAACAGCAAGTCACCTGGGGCACCTCCCCTGGTTGGCTTCCTCACCAGATATGTCAGGAAGTTCTCTTCCACACACTCCAGGAATCTCCCAGACTGCTTCCTCTCTGTGTTGTATTTTCTCTCAGACATCTGGTATGCTGAAGCCTGCCGCAACAGTAAGGGCCAGGGGTCATAAGACTTATCCCATCTGCTTACGGAATATTTCTTCTGCCTTTCCCCTGATTCTTACCCATAAACACTCCACCCTAACGTCCTCATTGTTCAACTCCATGCAACTGAGACACTCTCTAACACATAGGGCTACCCCACTGCCTCTTTCCCTGCCTGTCCCTTCTCAAGGGTTTGCAGCCGTCCATTGCAGTGCTCCAGTTGTGTGAGTCATCTCACCATGACTCTGGTAGCAACTCTGTTCCAGTTTTCCTGCTGCACCATGGAGCCAGTGTTTACTGCAGTAGCATCTTGAAATGCATTGCCATTCTATAAAATAGAGGTTCTGATTCCTGCCTCAGTAGCTGTGTTTCTTGAGAAATGTCTCATGCTTACCTTATTGTGCAAGAGCCTGAGTAAAAATCAGTGAAATCTCAAAGAGTGAGACATCAGCCAACATGGAATAATTGTCATAGTTTTTTTGTGAGTTAAACATTTGTACAGTACTAAGCATAAAGAATTTCCCTAAATAAAAAGGAAATGAGCTAGTCGCCTCAAGATTTATCTATCTAAAATTCCTGAATAAAGTCTTGGGTTTGATTGATAAATGTGAGCATAGGAAATTTTAGAAATTGGTTACTTTACTGATGGTCTGTGAAAAGTTTTTCGTATTGATTAAGTGTGAATAACAATTTTACATGTTAGTTCCCACTTCTGAACCCTTGATGATAATTTTTGTGAAGTGAAATGTTAGCTAGACAGAGTTGTGCAAACACAGAAGCTGTAAATAGGTTTTCATTTCAAAATTGCTTCTTGGTGTATTTTAGGAGTGCCTTGATTGTAAAAGGTCTTTGACTATTATAGTAATAGGGTATTTATTGGATCTATGGGACAACTATTTTGCCTTCAGTCCATATAAGTATTGTGAGAGGACTCACTCAATGCTTAAGGCAATAAATCTGCCTTCTTGGCTGGATTCCTATTTTAAAGGAAAACACAATCAGTTAACTTGACATCTGTATTATATTCCTTACCATGGAGTCAGTAAGTTACTTTTGCAAAAATTATAAAGGGCATTGTATTCAAATGTGGAGCATGCTTTTTCACAGTGAAATTAAAAGGGGTGGTAAATGCTCATTCTTTTGAAAAATGAGTCTTTTCAGTTCATGCCTTTGCTCCTTTATCTGAAAAAAATGAGGTTGTAATATTTGCTTACCTCTGTGAAAAGCTTTTGGATTCATATGTGAAGAGCATCCTGTCAAAAGCTGGCCATGTCCATTAGTAGCAGAACATGAGAGTAGGTACTTCATGCATTGCTTGAAAATCATAGAAGTGCAAATTGGAGGAATCCTTTTATGGTCAAATTGGAGAACAGGTCCGAAAAAGCAAAAGGAAAGTCATCGACTTCCACCATTCTTTCTGATGTCAAGAAGTCAAACCAAAATTTGTACTTAGCCATTTTCTTCTCTGCTCTTTTGACCTCCTGGAAGAGTGACTAATTTCATGTGTCATCTTGTGTGGTTTATGTTTTCTTTTCTACCTCAGAAATGCCAGTAGAGGCTGATCAACAGGAAGATGGAAAGAAGGAGTGCTACTACAATCTGAATGATGCTAATTTCTGTGACAACGTGCTTACGTCCAATGTAACCAAACAGGAATGCTGCTGTACCTTGGGTGCTGGTTGGGGTGATAACTGTGAAATCTTCCCATGCCCTGTCGTTGGAACTGGTAAGAGGAGGCCTTCTGTCCCTTTGCAAGCTTTTGAAGTGTTGTGTTTGTGTTAACAGAGTGTGCTTAGCCTTTAGAGAAGGCTTGCCCATTAAATCCCATATTTTGTAGTATTTAGTCATGACTTATCCATAGGAACACTCCATGGAGGAAAGGGTGATAAGAATAATTTGCACATGGTGTAAATCCATTGGCTTCTCTGCTGTTGCCCTAGGGATTAAAAGAGCATGTTACTGAACAGTGATTTTAAGCAAATATGGATTCTCACAAGAGCTTTTTCCAGATGCTGTGATAACACTTCAGATTTTTCCCACAAGCTGAAAAACAAAGGTAACCATTGCAACATTTTTGAGACTGCAGCTATACTTTGTAGTGCTGTTTCTACAGTGCCTTACAGCTTTGCAACTTACAGAACATCAGTTAATAATGTTCTCTGCAGACCTTTATTTAACATCTAAATATTAAATTAGACAAAGAGGGCCATGTGATATTTGTCACAAATTTTAAAAACAGCACTTGAAACATAAACAGGGATGGCTGAAATTCAGAATCCAGCTGGAAAAAAATCACATAAGAGGGAACACGTGTGAGCCTGAGATTAAATGATAAAGATTACTTTTCACAGAAATGCATCATCATGTTTAATTCCTGTTTTAACTATACCTTAGAAACTGTCAAATTGAAATGAAATGCAAAATGAAAAAGGGGCCTCTCTGCTTGGATAGGTTTGTTTGATTCTGTATAGTCTCCAAGACACTTGAAATAATTTCTCTCTGTAATGCACACCATGTTCTCCTGTTGCAGACAATTAGTGTTTTTCCTGTATGAAAACTAAAGAATGTGGACAGGGGTTTATATCTCAGTTGGAGTATGCCCAGCTCAGAGAGGCCCATGCTAGCTTTAATTAATATAATTTGGCTACTGGTATTGTTATAACTGCAGTGCACCATGAAACCTAGTAAGGACCACATTCTCCAGCCAAAAAGCAAGAGAAATGAGTTTGCCTGGAGCTGTGTGATGCTGTAGGCACCCTAATGAGGTTTTTTCTCTGCAAACTGAGAGCAGGGGAAAGTCAGGTTGTCTCATTTAACGTCCCCCATTAAATTAAAGGTGTGTATGATTGCCTGATAGATGCAAACAAGGCTAATATCTCAAAGTACCCTGAAATACATGTAACACTACATATGTGAATACCTTCTTCTTAACAACATATTTTTTTTCTTTCTTTCCCAGCTGAATTTACTGATTTGTGTCCTGAAGGAAAAGGTTTCATTCCCTCTGGAGAATCATCTTACGGGCTTCTTGCTCAGAATTACAAAGGTCAGTACTGACTTGTATTAAGTTTAATTATTTCAGAAGTTCTGGTAGTTGATTGACTAGAAATGTGAACCAGGAATATAAGCATACTAATTCAAATTTTATTAGGTGATAAAAACAGTTTGTAGTACAAAACATTACTGAAAATCAGGTTGCTAAGAATGTCAATTACACAGACTGTTATATTCTGGTTTAATTTCTACTAAGTGCTATATACTGTGAGAATAGGTGCTGTGACCACAAACCACAGATACTTGTTTACATATGGAATACAATGCCAGCTTAAACTTGTAAATATATGTATGAGGAGTTGGAAGAGAAGAGAGAGTTCTGTTGAACATTTGGCCTGCAAGGATGAATGAATATTAAAACCAAAGAGAAGTTAAGCAATGATATTTTCATTACAGAACTTCATGGAATAATTACAGGTGGTAGTCCAGTGGTAGTAAAGAAAACAGAGTGATAGAAGTTGGTGAATGTGGGTGAGAGGAAGCTGGCATCACCAAGAAGGAAAAGTGAGATCAGCAAAATTTCTTTTCAGTTTTGACAAGTAGCCATCAATATTAATAATTTTTAAGACAGTCACAGAGCTCATCTTAAAGTCTCTGAGAATATTTTTGTTGAGGGACTGTTTAAGGGCGTTGTTTATCTTTACAGACCTAAGATTTCTGTGTACATTCACAATGGGGGTTTGGAACTTGCTATCTGTGCAGCATATCCAAGTTAGTCTCAGATAAAATCTGTGTTGTTTTTGTGCTATCTCAGGGTTGGTAATATCTCTAGCTGCTATAAATACTGAAATGTGGAAATAGTTCACCTGGGCACAAATCCCTGCCATAATAAGACTTCCCTTTTCAGTAAATTTTTGGTGTAAAACCTTAGGAATGGCACAAAGACAAACAGTAAACAGATAAATAACTTTTGCTAATGTGCTCTTTTTGTAATGTGGTCTTTCTCTGTTACATTAGCTTAAATGTTACTCTTGCTTTTGTCCACAAGCTTCTGCTTGCAGGAGCAATTCCTGTTTTCTTATTGGAATTACCTGTCAGAAGTGAATAGCCTGCTAACCTTCCTTGGTTTTGCTTCCAGCCTTTCCCATTTTTCTCCTGACACAAATCCATGTTCCACAGGAAAAACACAGATGTGAACATGACATTTCTTACTAATCTGTACATTATTCTTGCTGCTAAGCAGTCAAAATATTTAATGTTTGTAGCCACTTAGTGGCTGGAATGGATGTAAAAATAAATAATTTTCTAGATCTTTCAGTTCCTCTGGAAAAAAAAGAAGCATTTAAATGATTCATCTTTAAAACTACTGTACAGCTTTGGGTAAAATCTGTGGTGCCCCAGAATAAATGGGGAGTAAATATATAGAAGACAGTGGACTAAAACAATTGGTATTGAGGGAAGAATCACCTAAGTTGTGCTTTTTATTGCCATTTTTACTACCAACCTAGCTTTAACAGTTAAAACAATTGGTATTGAGAGAAGAATCACCTACTTTAAGTTGTGCTTTTTATTGCCATTTTTACTACCAACCTAGCTTTAACAGATTACTCTGAGCAGGTCTAGCAAATGAAAAGTAGGCTGGAAAAAAGGAAGTGAATGGAATTCCAACAGTAACAAATACATAAATAGAAGACTGTGAAAAAATGTGTACAACTGTGAAAAGCAATATATGAGCTGGCATATATTTTCCATGAAACCTCCCTGAACATGTTTAGCCTCATGTGAAAGCTTGGTAGAGTCTCTTTGTCAGCCGTCACTAGTTCTGTAGCGATTGCCACCCTGTGTTCAGCCACAGACACAACTGGTCCTGTGAGGGGGAAGGCTGCACTGGAGTTGTGCTTTGAGCAACAAAGCCATGAGCAGTGCAGACAGGAAGATTTCCTGCTATGCACAGCAGAGTCACCAAACTCTGTGTAAAGAAAAGAGCAGTCACAGAGTCCATCCATAAGTGTAACTGCTTAGTTTGGTAACCAGATGGGGTGCTTAGATTAGATCCATGGTGGGAATACCTTCAGTAAAGCAAATTATATTGGCAAATACAGGCTATATTGTTCATCTGTTTTGATTAGAGTTAGGGGCAATGTGATACCAAAGGAATGAAAGGAAAGCTGCAGATTATTCCAGTCTCTGTGTGCCACTTAATTCTGATAAGGGGAGGTAACAGTCCATAATTTTTCCTTTTCCATTCTGGCTATATAGCCTCTTTCACACCAGTTGTCTGAGCACGTTTTTTTCTGTGGATATCTGTGCTCCTGGGATTTTCTGTTTAAACTGAAGTTTGCTTGAACAGAGAAGTCTATAGGATTTATTCCATCTTGCTTGTCTACATGACATCATAATAGCAGTGGTAACACAGCCTTTAATGTTTTCTCTCCAGATGCTGATGAATGCCAACTCTTTGGACAAGAAATCTGTAAAAATGGCTTCTGTTTGAATACACAGCCAGGTTATGAGTGCTACTGCAAACAAGGCACATACTATGACCCTGTTAAGCTCCAGTGCTTTGGTAAGTTTATTTAAAGTGGTCTTGTCACCGTAATGGTATGCAGATGGGCAAAACAAGCAGAATCCTACAGCAGGATTCCCATCAGAACTGTGGCATTTCCAGTAAAGGGAGAAACACTGGGCCTCTGGACTCCTGTAGCAGTTTTGTAAGATGCATTGGGTCATTTCCCTTCCTTCTGCTTGGCTGAGCAGCCATTCTGAATGACATAGCTGTGGCATGTAGAGCAGGGCTTGCTTGATTTGCCTCCTTTTTCAGCAAATTAATCCCAGGAGTTTGCATCTCCAGAACAGCCTTTTGTGCTCCTTTGAGGGCACAGTCAAGAGCTGGTGCCAGCCTTAATGCAGGCAGCACAAAGTCATCAGAGGGGGCTCCCTCCTTACATGCACACTGCTGCTTCACTCTGCCAGGGTACAGTTTAGCCTTCTCTTCTTTGTGTATGGGGTGAACAGTGAAATCCTGTATGTTGAAGCTCACCTGTCATTTGGTAAGTGTTCTGGGTTTACTATATTAAATCAAAGTAACACAAACTTTTTTGGTTTGTTTTTTTTTTTGTTTCAAGGACAGCTATTTTCCCCAAGGGGTTAATATGCAATGTGAAATTACAGTTGAGGTCATTGATAAGCCCATTTTAGCCTGCACAACCTTGTACTCTTTTGGTTCTGGTATTCAACTGAAAATTACTTATGACCATGACCCTGGCTTTTGCTTTGTAAGCAGAGAACCATGTAGAATGTGCAGATTAGCATAATGAAAGGAAGCAATTTTTGCAACTGTAATAAGAGAGCCTTTTACCTTGGGATTCTATGATTATTCTTTACAAAGAGTGGGATTTTAGCTGATTAAATGTAATTTATCTGAAGTGGCCTGCTCTTCCCTTTGAGCTAAATTTCAGCTTTTGCTTTCCAAGACAAACTAAGAAAAATAACTACCATGGCTAGGTAACGTGATCCCTTCTTCTGATAAGCTCACGAAGAATCATAAGAGTATGCCCACCTCTAATGCCTGCTGGTATTGTCCTAAAAAGAGAGGAATTTAGGAAGCGGTAGCAGCTATACTGGGTGCAGGTATTCCTGGCATTGCAACCCTTCCAACAAGCCTCTTTATCCTCCCTTGTACTTCTCCATACTAGCTCCCTAAGTCTTGGATCCTTGAGGATCAGGGGTCAGCATCCTTCAGATGTCTGTCCTTCTCCGTGGGCACAGGCAGGATTTTTTTGCCAGCAGTGGGTATTTGTGGTCATTTACAGAAGGCACACAGGGAAGTCTGCTCCTAATATAGGAAAATAGAAACATAGATTAACACAATGCAAATACTTTGTGCTGGCTTTCCTTGATACATTTCCTTCCATTTTAAAGACACGGATGAATGTCAGGACCCAAACAGCTGTATTGATGGCCAGTGCATTAACACAGAAGGATCTTACAACTGTTTCTGTACACACCCAATGGTTTTGGACGCAACAGAAAAGCGATGCATCAGACCAGCAGATTCAAGTGGTATGATCCATTATACATATTACTGAAGTGAGTACACCTCTACGAGGTGGTGCTGACATGGCTACAGACCCAAAGTCTAAGCTTAGACTGGGTCATCCTTGGATGAGCCTGCTCTTCTGGAGGATTTTGGAAGGCAATGCTTGGACCGTCGTCTGTTGATCCAGAAGGCACCATGATGTAGGACTCCACAGTGCTCCACTTTGCCTATACAGACAGGACATTGCTGGAAGTATTGTGAGATTAGGCTCGGGCTGAGGAGTCTTCAGCCAGTTCACCAGCTCTGCGTCTGCCTTGTCCAGCCTTGTAGGTAATGAGGCACAGCCTGCTTGCTGTCTCAGTAAGGCTGGGGTTTGGCTGCAGGCTAAGTCTCGAGATTCAGTTCCACCAAGGCAAAATAAAAACAGGAATGACAGGATATAGGAGGAAATAGCTAAAATTGTATGTGTGCTTTAAATTGATTAACTTTGAAAGTACATTGAGCTCACAGTTTCAAGCTGTGGGCTTCAACATTGCTGTTAAAGTAACTTTTTTGTGTGTTCTTTTAATTTCAATAGACACTTATTTGAGAAAAAAATGTTAGAGATTCAAAAAAAATTATGAGATTCATGGAAACCTCTCAGAAATCCAGAGTGTTATGCAGTCTGCACAGCTTTGTTTATGCCACTCATGTCTTCGAAAGAAGCGTTACAATGGGTTTGATTTAATGCTGGCACTGTATAGCCATAAATCCAGACCTCTGGTTCCTGCAACTTGCAGTGAATTTTCCTGAGATGCTTCTGTAAAAGGAAATGGGAATACAGACTGAATGCCTGCTTTAATCACTCCAAATTGTAAGGCTGATATTTTGAGGAGTAATGTGGTTGCCCTGTTGCGTGGAACTGTGAAAGAACCACAGCATTCCTATTGTTCCATCTTCAGTTAAACAAACCAAAGGCAGGATTGTCCTTTGGGTTCGTCTAGGATGTGAAGAGAATGCAAGAGCCCAAAGGGTCTTCTGTGATGAGACATTCGGCTGACACAGCAGTGATCATCTCAGCCAGCACAGAGCACTCACGCCTTGTATCGCTACTGGCAATGTCCCCCTCACGCAGAGGGGAGGGGGCAGGCTGGTTCTTTTGCTGCCAGCAGAATTTGGAGTCAGTTGCAGAGACCCACTGCTGCTTTTCACTGCATAGTCTGGCAAGCTCTTAGTAGAATAGGTGTCTAAGCTGTGATCACCTTCATGCTTTCAGAACTCAGTTTTGTTCTTGAGCGAGGTTTCAGTTCTGTGCTCGCCAATGAATAATGTAAAAATGCAGTAAATGGATATGCATAGACAAAACAGAACCTTGGTTTGTGACAACACTTATTTTTCACTCTGAGTTGGAACAAAATCAAAACCTTGCAGATGTCTGCACAAAACAATTGTGCTGAGGTTTTTACATTCCAAGTGGAAGATTAAGTTTACAGTTCCTCTCCTTCTGATCAGCAGTGATCAGAACTTGCTGGGACTGGGAATGGTTTCTTTTGAGATCTGTGTCAAAACTATTATGCCTCTGAAATATTCCAGCCTTGACAAAAATACAGATTTTTGTTAATGTTCATAAGAATGTGACAGTAGTTCACAGCAGTGTTCTGTCTTTAACAATAGCTGTAAGTGGATGATTAGAGACCAGGAGGGCAGATAAACAATACTTCTCTTCACCCTCCCCAGCGCTCTCTCAGCCTCCAGCTATTTTCAGCTCAGGGGATTTCCTGAGACTGATGTAGTTTGTCTGTTTAGTTAATGGGCCTCTCTCTTCCAAGTATTTGTCCAGTCTCCCAGGGAGCCCATGTAAAATTTTTGTTCAGCTCTGCCCTAGTTGTAAAAGTTCTTTCAGATGCATTGACGGCAATATAAGAAAAACAAAATAACAACTTTTAAAGATCTATTGTGTGGATGGAGTTCCCCAAACATTCACCTCTCTCCCAATGCTGGTTTTTGTCAAGCTCTGTTAACTTCCATGGGAGCTGAGCTGAATCCCTGTTAAGTGCTCAGGAATGACTATGATTTAGAAAGATCTGGGTTTTGAATATCCAACACAATGTGCTTTTAAATTGGCCTAATGTGACAACTCAGAACCTTTTAAGATTTTTCCAAAGCTGAACATTCAAGGGATGAGCCACCTCAGGCACTTAAAAAAGGTCATGACTTCTAAGCTTAAATTTGTATTCAGCAAAGTCTGTAAAGCTAAGATATTTTTCTAATCTAAATTTACAAAATTTATCATTATACCAACATCATATTTAAATAACAGTGCTGTGATGATGACCTAATCCTGTCTTCTCCATCAGAACAAACTGAAGAAGCTGAGGTCTACCAGGACCTTTGCTGGCAGCACCTGAGCGATGACTTTGTCTGCAGTCGGCCGCTGGTTGGGAAGCAGACCACGTACACGGAGTGCTGCTGCCTGTACGGGGAGGCCTGGGGCATGCAGTGCGCGCTGTGTCCCATGAAGGAGTCAGGTAAGGAAACACACCCGCCGCTGCCCGGAACCTGGAGCACCTCACCCCTTCCATCCCTTGCATTTGTACCTGCGCCAATGACCTGAGAAAGAGCAAAAAACCCCTAGCCCCTCAGGTTAAGGGAAATGGGTTACCAACATGGACTGAAAAATTCCCAAGGAATATGGTTTAGTGTTAAATAGAAAGCTGGCTGTTGTAGTTTTAAAAGACTGTATTTTGTTTACGTGTTTGGAAATCAGATACTCTTCCATGATATTTCAGGTGGAAGGTGTTAATTGTGGTGACTACAAAAGCTGAATGGATACAGAGAGACATGTCATTGACACTCAGATTTATTTCTGGGGACTGGAGAAGGGGCTAGTGGAAGCAGCATAGGTATACATCATGCTTTGCCTGGGATACATCAGGCCTGGTTACATAGTCTGGTGGCATGACACAAACTTCCTCCCTCCCCTGTATAAACTGTTCCAAGGTCTAGTTTGGATGCAGCTTTCTTACTATAAATGTGTCTTTCAGTGACATATCTTTCCATGTAGGAATACCAACCTGCACTGGTAAAGCATTTTATTGTGAACATTCCTGGATTTTCACTTGGGTCTTTGTTACCCTAATGGTAATGTTGTGGCTAAAGCAATACGTGTTTTACTTGCAGGAAAAACCCAGGAAATAAAAAACTACGTAGAGAAGCTCAGTGAAGCATTAATGTGGTTGTTTCTGCCTTCTTTGGTTGTATGCTTTTATAATTTACTTGCAAGGTCCTTGAACCTGTTCTTAGATATCTTTACTTGTTTGAGTTTGCTTTGGAATTGCTGCAGCTGAAAAAAAAGCATATGATTTTGATGATGTTGGCTGGAGTAACTGCTGGCCGATGCTTACCCCAGGAAGAGACTGAAGAAAAAAAACAGGGCATGACAGCAGCTTGATTTATAAGATTTGGAAATCTCTGAAGTGTCTTTGTCAGAACAAATCTTATATGAGGACATCAAATTACTATACCTGCTAGAATAACAAATGCAATGGAAAGAAATGTAATGTTGCCCTATATTTGAAAGAAACACAGGGCAACAGCTAATAGCAAGAATCATTGCTATGGCCTGGAACTCCTCAAGTGGAAAGATTGAGCAGATTAAAGGAGTTTTTCTTCTTACAAAGTTCATCACATGGTGAGAGTGACCCATCTGTGTCATACAAACACGCAATCCTGAGAGAGCAAAGAAAAGCTGTTCCTGTTAGAGAGAGTTAAATTAGGTACAAGACTTACTTCTGGAGATTTCTAGCTAGTTACATTTAAAGCAGGATAAATCTGAAAAGAAGGAGAGAAGGACCACCAACATGGTCAGGCAAAGAGAACCTGCCTCACAAGGGAAGATGAAAAATTTCAAACATAGCTGCAGAACAAAGGCTGCAGATTCTAAGACTCTCCTCTAGAGCACAATCATGGAGGATTCCCAGAAGCTTTTAATTTCAACAAATTGCAGGAAAAGAAATTGGAACTATTTCAGTCTGAAAATATTAGATTTATTTTGGTCATTTGGAACACAGGATTCTGGATCCTGTGCCAACAGTGGGGTGCAAATCCCCAATAGCTCTGCGAAGAAAATTGAGAAATTAATTTTAATAATTACATGGAGGTTCCCAATGGATAACATCCTAAACATCAGTTGGATGATCCTTAGTCAAAGCTGAAGAGCATTATGATGGATAATAAAATCTTTCTCCCTCCAGACACAAAAAAAAGTGATGTTTTTTTTGTGATGTTTCATTTGCTTTGAGAAGTATCTGCTTTAACTGCAACTGAGGCATACTTTGATCCCAAATACTTTAAATTATCCTTATAGATTGGAACATAGCTAAAAATAAAAGCATATTGAATGTTTATTATATCAGAACAAACACGCAAGCTCTCATTTCATAGTGGAGATGGTATGTGCTCATTTGTCCTCACACGCATGTGCACTCACCCACACAGAAACCTGGAAGCCTTTCTCTGTGTTCAGGAACATTTACCAAGAAAAATTTAAAGCTGACTGAACTGAATAAATGATTCATTTGACATGTCTTCAGTCTGTAGCACTTAAAGTGATATCATTGGCTCAAGAGAGCGCTTTCACACCTCCAGGCCATCAGGTCACAGGTTCAAGTCCTGGCTGGGGAACCTGGAATTTCTCCATTTTTAAATACTTAGGTATTGTGTTGGCCAGGTTTACTACTGAAGGTGTTTGCTTATTTCCCCAGTTTGGGGCATTCTGAAGATTTTTAACACATGTTAAAGGAGACCTGCCGATGTGAAAAGCATTGCCACCTCAAAACTTTCACCATGAAATGAGTTGAATATAGCACAGATCTGTGGTTTCCTTTTACCTTGTTTATAGTTCCATTGTATTTGAAGATCTAGTCACCACCCTTAGAAAGAAGGAAATACAGGCCTACCACCATAAGTGATACTTTTGCAAGTCCCTTCTAAAGATATTAATTCTTTATTAAAAATAACCGCTAGCTTTTCTAACCCAACTTGTCTTTAAAGTGCTTCCATTTTTCATTACAAGATTTAAATATGCTGTTTGAGTAGGATCCAGCAAAAAAAAACAGTGAGAAGATAGAGCACTCTTGTAAGAATTTATCCATATTAAGCAAAAAGAAATGCAATCTTATATCGGCTTGGAAATAGAACTTAATGGTTGCTACTGTTTCTAAAAACTACTACTCAGTGCTTAATTAAACAAACTCCACTGAAATTACTCCAAACATTCAGAGACTGAGACAAAAATAAGTAGCATTTTTTGATATTGCAACAAATATCAGCAGCAACATCATAACAACAGTAAGACTGATAAGTATTTTGCTGACAACACTGAAGAACAAACTCAAAATGTTGGTTCAAAGTCCTGATCAAAATACTGCAAACATGAGCTGTAGTGCTGTGCTTGAGTACCTCTGACTCATGCAAACAAGGAATGTAAAGACATTGTCTTCAATTACATTCAATTATCTTACGATTAATTATTTCAATTATTTTACTATATCATCATTGCGGATAAAGACTTTCACAGATTTCATCAGTACCAAAATGTTGGCTACTGAAGTTTATTCTCTCTGTGCTCACAGTGTCATTAGTCTTTATTTGCCCAAAGAACAGTAATAACAGTTTAGTAATTATTTTTTAAAAACTTCTGTGTTATTTGAGGTTTGTCATTGGCAATCTGTAGAAATTGACAAGTTGAGGAAAATTAGAAAAATGGACACTTTTCAGTTTAGAAAACAACAGCAAAACATCCTTTCTCATTGCATCCACCTAAAAAATACATGTCGGATGCCTGGCCTTTGGAAATTCTGCTTCCTTGGTCAATTTACTGTTAGTGCCTACCAGCCCAACTCTCACCATCCAGAGCCCATGGTCTAGTGACTGGTAGCTGGCTCCAGTTGGTTTAGTAGCTGGGTAAAGGCCTCTGTGCCAGAAAACAGAGCAACTGGCCCAGACTGAAAAAAATGTGAAATCTAAAATAAAGCCATATATACCTCAAGTTAACTTGAACTTGTAGGACCTGAACTATAAATGTTCTGAGACTCCAGAAACTCCTGTGCGACCCTTAGGGAACTGGAATGGATTTTAGGCTAGGTGTATGGTTACAGGAAATTTGAAGAGAGGAGATAGAACTAACAGCTAGAAAATGTTGGGTAATGTGGTATGCTGGGGTCAGCATTTAATTTACAGAGACAGCCTATTTTTTGATTGCAAAATTATAGTTTTGAGGCTATTACAGAACAGTACCACGTTTGCTTCAGTAACACCTTAAGATGCTGGTAAGGTTGGTATTAGGAGCCCCTGAACTAAGGAGATGTCAGTCAGTTAAGGAGGGTACTTTCTTTTCTGTAGCTGGTTGCCTGGGGAAGCTTTCATACAGAAAAACAGGGTGAGGTAGGTCTGGGACTCAGCAGCTTTAGCAGATGTTTTAATAACTGTTGAGAGTGGGGGTACATTACTGCATCTGTGACTTAGACATTTTTGTTGGTGTGAGTACTAAGATAATGTCATGAACACATTCTTAGGCAACTGGAAAAGGCACCAGCATTCAGTTTATCAGCCTGCTTATTTGTGTATCCTTAGAAATATTTTTTCTACTCTTAAATTTTGAATTCTATGACTTTGTGGGGTTTTATGGAACCACTTTATGTTTAGAAGATCTGCAGAAAAGACAATGACAGATCTCCAGTCAGTAGATGTTTCAGATATTCTGTGGGATTAGAAGTCAATAAAGAACTGCTGTTCATATTGTATTTGAAGTTTCTCTTTATCTCCACCTTACCATTTGCAAAATCCATGCTGGGAGAACGCTGAGAGTAGTGGGTAATGTGGATCACCTGGGGTGTTGTATAATGTAGGATTTCTCTTGGACAATTTCATATTGTGGTTTTTATACAGAAACCCACATCAGTGCTGCCAGTTTTTCCTTCCATCAGGAAAGATAAATCAGCATCCTGAGCAATATATTCCCCTGACCTGTTCTAGACACATGCTTTACAATGAGATGCTGTCCTAGAAGTGTTTCTCTCTTTCCATGGATTAAAATGGACAATGAACAACTAATTCAGATGCAGACGTTCAGAGATGCCTACATGGAGTTGAATTCTGCCCATTTCTGGCAGAACAGATTGTTTGGATTGCATTTTTGTTACAAAGGAACTCTGTGTATCCTTTGTAAACATTATGAGTTAGTTCTGGGCTGAGCTTCCACATTATGAGAACATAGTGTTCCCTTTAAGTTCTGGCTAATGTCACTCATGTAGATCTGGAAGTACAGGGAAAGCCAATGTGTGTAAAGCATGAGTTTTCATCTCTCCTCTTTTGGGATGGTAAAGATCAGCAGGGAGGCACTGGATTAATTTCTGTAGATCATTGCTCATCTTTCCATTTACGATGGCATTGTGTCTCCTTCCTTTGCAATAAGGACTGGTCAAATGGATTCTATCCTCTGGGCTTAAAATATTGAAGTGATTGGGCCTTGAACATTCAAATTCTTGTGTTCGGTTGTGCAGATTTTTGGCTAATTTAGTTTCTGTTGATGCAGAGTTTCAGTGCTTTTTCTGAAGGTTAGGCGAGAGTAGAGTAGTTTTGGCTAAAGGTTCTTTCTCATGGAACCTCACATTCCAAGTGCACATGGAAATCAGCAAGGAGTCAGGCATGTGCAAAGTTCTGTCAGAAACAACCTGACTTTTACTACAACTTTTAACTATCTACTTGGAGCGAAAGAAATGGGAAGATCATTTTAGGAAGCTCGAGCAGCATTAGTAGAGGAACAAAAGGTCACTACCAAGAGGTTTTGAGACAATCAATTTGGTAATTATTTCAGTTTAGCAAGAGCTTTACATCCACTGTGAATCTTTTTTTCAGGGATTTCGTTTAGAGTGTGTTCATTAAAGGATATGAATATCCTTCTTAACTAATGAAAAATGACCTTTAAGACTGACACCCTGACCTTTTTTCTTGTGCTATAGAATATATATCACTGCCATTCACTGCAAACCTTAGCATCCATCCATGGGCAACATCAGTGAAGTTTTCAAAATTGTAAAATAGCATGATCTAAATATAGAGCAGAAATACCTTTAGCTTTGGTTCTCATATGATACAATCTCCTGAGACAGCATAAACTTAACCAATTTAGATTGATGTCCACAACCTTTGGTGAAACTGTTGCATTCTTAAATAATTTGAAGGATCTGGCTTGGTTTCTTAGTCTTGGCTTCTTCTGTGTGTGTGATGGTGACAGTTCTGAGGAGCTGGAACAGAAATAAAGCTTTCTTTATGGACAGGAGCTGGACTGGCTGTGGTGTAGTTGTTTAATGGTTGTGTCAGGAAAAGCTTTTATATAATATTTTGCTTTAAATACACGATATATGGAATAATGTTTCTGACATTAGGATTTTTAGGCCTCTGAGTGCAAGTAAGACTCACAAGGGCTTGCTCAGTTACAACTATATATGCAAATCAGATGCACATTTGCACAACTGCATTTTTGCTAATAAGCACCTAAAAGCCAGTCAGTCCATACAATTTATATTGTGTCATCTCTGTCAGCCAAGCTTTCATCACCAATTACAGCTAACATCTGTGCCAGTACACATGTGTGTCTAGATGTAATCCCCTAACACTTGTTTAATAGGCAATACTTCTGACTTTAAAAATGTCCTTTACATTTTTGGAGGCATACATCAGCTTCCTTTTATAATAGCCACCCTAAGTTATACAACAAGCTGTCTGTATGCTTCATTTGCAAGTTATGAGAAAAACTTAGAAACACATGGACCAATGTAGACTAAGATATATTAAAAACAAAGCGGTTTTGTTTTTTTTCTCTTGAACTGTAGTTATATTGTCCCTGATCACAGCCAAGAGATGAGTGAACAGAAAAAATAAACCCATATAGAAAAAGGTTTCTTCATTCATTGTGAATTATAGAATATTTTCTTTCAACTTTACTTGAAAGATTCACTTCAAAGTGAGCATTGATTTCTGTGACATAAAATGCTTCTGTCATTCAGGGATAGTTACATATTCTGTCTTGGTCTCTGCCCCCTTACCACCTTCTTGATCTCAGTCTCCTGTTGTCATCTCCCAAGGGCAATGTCATGTTGTTCTTCCATTTGAATACTTGCCTGCAAGTTTCTGTGCACCGGTCATGCTTTCACCCACAAATCCTACAGCACTCTGTTCATGTAGTTCCCTTCCCTGGAAAACTGACCAATACACATCACAGTGACCCCAAGTATATTGTTTTTAATTTGAACTGTGGGAACATAGCATAACAAGGAGGAAAATTTAAAACAACAGAAAGTGTCATTGCTGTAACTTGTTCTATCCTCCACAGGGGTACTATGATGAGTTCATTTCTGTCAGGGATCCAAGCCTCAGGTCTACCTTATTTCAAAACACCAGTTCTAGTGACCTTTCCAGAATGTGGCCCCCCCACATACTTTTCAGTCTTTGTACTCTCCTCTCTGCACACCCTTTTTTTCCCTGGGGGAAAAAAAAAGGAAAAAAAAAAGAAAAAGAAAAAGAAAAAGACAAGCTGAGAAAGGTGGAATAGATAACTTACCATTGTTATTGGTCCTGAATTTCTACTGTTGGTTTCTTAGGTGAGCTGCTCTTGCTCTCCTTGGGTTTATTGCCTGAGCACCTAGTGACTGAATCAACACATTATAAAGACAAGGGGTTTAGTCTATACTACTTGGACAGCTAAACAGAACATACAGTATTAAGAGAGTGTTACAGGTATAAGACTTAAAAATGCAGGCATTCAGAACTTTATTTTTCAGAGACCAGTGGGGCAGGAAACAAGTTTCTGTTGTCAACATTTCTTGATTCTTCCTTAGACGTTGAACAACTTTGCATTGGCGGTCATGCAATATAAAATAGGCTTGCACAATCATCAAACAAGACAACTCTCGTGTACATGAGAGCTCCAGGTCTATGGATTTTCAAAAGTTCCAGCTGCTTTCTTCAGAGCTAAGACACTGTTTATACTACCAGTATCACTAATGGCACAATTAGCACTGAGTAATCTGGGAAGCCAGTGTACAGGTTCTGCTCAGCCCTTCCCATCAGATCACATTCGTGTGGAAGAGGCAGTGATCCCTAAGATCCACAATAGCTGCTTGTCCCTTTGCCTTTCACTGACTGTATTTATGTGGTAGTTTCTTCCACACAAGCTAGATGAATTAGTATTTTGTGATAGAACACAGATTTCCTTTGCCAAGAACATTTGTGGGCATCTGTGAGAAAGTGCTGTTACTATTCCGCATAGCTGTCCTGTGTGTCCATTCCATATGAATGAAGGGATCATTCTGAGATGATAAACTGTCCCTATGCATGGATGTTAATCTGGGGTTAGATGTGGGGAAGAAAGAATGGGGTGTTTCTGGTCCTATGACAACTCTTAAAACTGTGCTCATTATCACAGTACCTCAGTGGGAAGCTGTGCAGTCAGGGATGTAAGTAACCTTTGCTATATGTAGTTTATTTTGCCATGATGGCTTTGTTTCCTGTGCCCTGGGATGTTGCTCTTGGGCAGTGTACTTTGTTCTCTGGGAGAGGAAAGTGGTGTTTGAATATTATTACTGTATATAAATATATTCTGGAGGACATACCTCAAAGGAAACCACTTTGCTCTTGCAGCAGAATGTGGTGGGATTTACAATGATTTTTCAGTTCTCTTGGGAGTTCATGCTGCAGACTTGGACTGTCAGCCATGGCAGCCCTGGGTGTGCACGGACAAGCTTTGCCTGTACTGCTCCGTCTTGTGCCCTCAAAGGGCCAAGTTGTTGACCACAGAATTCAAACAGACTATTTGAACACTTTGGTGTTTTCAGTACAAAATAAAATCATTCCAGGTGGAGGAGATACTACCTGTAAAAATAAAATTACAGTACTGGACAGCAAGTAGGGCTGTGCTCTGCACTGTCTAGAGGCAGTCTGGACTTATCCAACTATTTGCTGTCTGGGACAGTTCTACACAGCATGAGGTTTCTGGCTCTGCAACCATCTGCAATTCTTGGATTGTGTATCTGCTTAGGGCTTTTTTTCCTCCCTCTCTTTTGGTGGTTTTTCTTTCCCGTCCTTTCTCTGCCCGATTCTCAGAACACCAGGCAATCTTCACAGAACCAGAAGCTAAACAGACTGTAGCAACAGTAAGGGAGTGCCTGGATTGCTGTATTTTAACAATATTTCTGTTTTCAAATAAATTGTATTGTATGTCTTTTAGTAAAGTGTAGTAGAAACAGAATTGACACAGTCTTTATTTGATTTATAAAAGACTCAAACTCTGCATAAGCGTTTCAGACATGGACTCTGACACCTAAAATGAAGAGCTGCTTTGGTCTCAACTTGTGTTGTCCAGCTTTTAGAGAGAGGCACAAAATCAGATGTGACTCTTTCTCCTGTGTGTTTCCCCATGCTCTGAGCTTCACAGCCAAGGAGACTTGGAACAGCACTCACACTTCCAAGCCTGTGGGTTGAAGACCCAGTTTGTAGATAAGTGTGGGCTATTTCAGAAGTATTTTTCATGCTGAATTCTGCAGGTTGGCTGCCAGTGCCAGAAATATTGGCAGTACCTGCCCCAATTTACTTCCTTTGGGGAGGTTTCTCCTAGCAGCCATGATGGTCTGGGGTAGCCTTTGTTCCACAGAACGAGGAGTATAAACAGAGGTAGCCCTGGAGAGAAGTGTATCAGCAGTGGCATGCACAGCATCCCTCGGCTCTTGCTTCCCATGCAGAGCAGAAGAACCTGACCTATAACTTTTTGTACAGTTATTGACTCAAATCTATCCCTGGTGTTATCCCTATTATGACTTAATAGTATATATTTGGCTCATTAACATTTTAATGACATCCTTTTTGAAGAGAGAATGCTTTCTGGAAATTTTCTTTTCTGCAGATTTATGGTGTTTCTAGGAAGATAAGTTTATTTCCAGCAAGCATGAACCACAGCTCTCTGGGACTAATGTAATGCAGCCTGTGTTACAAGTGTGTTTACTTTTATATCTTATTTTCTTTCCCCCCTCAGAGGATTACGCCCAGCTGTGCAACATTCCTGTTCCAGGAGCTCGACGGCCATATGGACAGGATGCTTTAGTTGACTTTGAGGAGCACTACACTCCAGAAACCAATCCATACTTCGTTGAAGACCGTAAGCGAGATTCTCTCTTATGTAAAAGACTTGAAATGAGATTTTTACTTCAAGTTTTTTTTCCTTGTAGCTAGTTTCATTCTTCTCTTTGCTTCTGGGTAGTGTGGCCTATTTATGCTTTAGTTATTCCTATGACACTAGCTTTCAGTGAGGTGTTCCACTTCAAGAGCCAGGTTTGTATGAGAGTCCAGTTGGGCTCAGTGTACAACTAATTTTTAATCTAGTGAAACAGTTTGTGCCAAGTGTACTAAATTTGTGTTTACCAACAGTTATACAGCTCAAGGTCAAAAGGCTTGCCAATTTTCCTTCTCACAAATTGATTTTCCTTTGGAGCATGGGACAGTTTTCTCCAGAGTGCATTAAATTTAGAAGAACAAAAAAACTCTTCATCTTTCCATGATTTCCCAGCAGAACTTGCATGAGTGAAATGAGAGCATGCAAATCATTCTTGCTCAACAGAGCAAATGTACAGCACAGTATGATTAGAGAATACACAGAGGTATGGACTTCAGGCTGGATGCTGTGCCTGCCAAGCAGGGTGTGAGAATTGTACACAGCATCTCGCTTGTGCTTGAGGAATATCAGGGCTCTGTGTTAGGTTGGGCCCAGCTGACTGCTAAAATTTGCAGGAGAGAAATGCTTACAGATTTCAGCATCTTCCTCAAAATCAGGCAACCTGTACAGATCCATTCAATTTATCATGGTTTTAGAGAAGAAAAGTGGAAGTATCAGAAGGAGCTGTAATTTCTTGTGCTTTACATATGTATAGTCTGCAAGCTGCCACTCTGCTCTTCCACAGTCAGCATTACTGAGTGTTGATGTGTAACTGAAATGTCACACTGCTAAAAACTGCTGGTTCCTCCACGAAACCCAGAGCACTGACTGGGTAAGAAATATGGAAAGAAGCATTTCATAAGGCATAAACAAGGTATACAATTTAGTGGTAAATAAATACGATAAATTGTGGAAAGTGTTGAATCCACAGCTGAGACCACATCATAGAATGGCTGCAGTGGGAAGGGACCTTAAAGATCATCTAGTTCTGACCACTGAGGGACAGAGCTCATGCCTTTTGCTCCCATCCTATCACTGAATCAGATGGGGCATCTTGTTTGGGACATCAGAGACTTCAAGATTATAATGCTTCTGCAGCTGTGTGAAGAATACAACAATACATCCCATCCCATGGCAGGGCCAAGTACTTCAGGGCAATATTTGTCATTGTGCATTCAGTTTCTACAGAAGCAAATACATACCTCAGAATTACCATGCAGGTCCCATCGAGCTGTTTTGAACTAGAGTATATTTTGTGAAGTAGGACTTGCTGTGAGTGATACATTTAGTTTTAGCTAGTTAAAATTACAACATACTTTATTCATGATAGAGACGGAGAGAAAAAAATGTGTGTACCTATGATTATGCACATGCATATATGCCTACATATAAGCTGTATTTCTAATAAATTATGGGGGGTTTTTTAAATTTGAAAAATATCTCTGTGTTTGGGAGGACTCCTTTCCCTTTCTTGGCACTGTTTTCTAAATTAGAAAAGGTCTTTATTTTAAAGGTCTCTCCTGAGCCCTCTACAAGCTCTGCCAGAGGACTCCAGCAAGTAATGAAACTTGGTTACCTACATCATGATGGTGCTCAATATCCTCAATACTATTGCACTGAGAAGTGATTTACAAGGCTCATGGAAAAGGCTGCAGTGTTTCCCATTTAATGTACACTTGTATACATCCTGTGTATTATTTATGTTCTTGAGATGTGACATCTGTCAGCAAGTACTTACTTCACATTATGTGTTCAGTGTCTTCAGAATCCACTTAGCCTGTTACTGACCAGCTTGATCCTTACTCAGAAGCCCTCCATGCTAGGAAACCCAGGATAGGAACAGTATTTGTAGTCAAAGAGAGGGGCAGTGGACATGGCAGTATGGAAGTTAAATGGACAAAGGTATGGAAAGGGCAGAGTAGGAAAGGAAAAAGCAGGTCAGTAGAAAAGAGGGCCTCAAGGACCAAGACAGGATGGAGTAAATAAGAAAAGACAAGAGAAAAAAAAAAACATAAGGAAGGGAGAAAATCATATTCCTAGGTAGCTTAGCAGATACGTGTATCACAGCTGTTGCAATATGAACCAGTAAACAGTTTTTCAATAAGTTGCTGACTTATTGGAGGAGCCACTACCTGTTACAGGATACATGGAGAGATATGTCCTACTCTAGTCCACTCCAGCTCCAATTTCCCCTCTATATTCATTGTGCTATTAAACTTATGACTCAAACATCCTCAGCTTTTTCCACAGAACTCTGTTTGATGTGATGGGCTGCCATCTGCAGTCCTGTTACATCACTGCTCCATGAGCAGAAAGCTAGTGAAAAAAAACTTACGACTTAGAGGAACAGTTCAGTCCTACAGACAATCTCTGAACATGTGAAAATGTAAAATAATAATGAATGTAAAATAATTTTGTAAGTATAAAGCCTTCCTTACATAGAAAAGCATAACTGTCACAAAAGCCCTAAGGCAGGGAGCACAAAAAGTGATTATACAAACCACTGAATACAAAGACAACTCTTTGTATAAGAGGTGAAAAAAAAAAAAGCTCAACTCTTTGAGCTTTGACTGCTCACCATCTAGAATTATGACAAGGAGGAATTGGTAGATTATAGGTATTTGTACTGGCACCAGTCACTGAGGCACAAGCCAAAGGGCTGTTAACGAAAAACCGCAACAGGAAAGCAGTCTCTGATTTCTTCTTATTTTCCTTATGGCAGCTGGGATTGATTTTTTTTTAATATGTTTTCTTCTGGATAAATTATAATGCATCTCTTACCCCTCTACACACACACACCTTATTTTTCTACAATCCTGTTTTAAGAAACTTTCCCAAATTGCGTGACCACTTGTTTCCTTGAAGGCTGATAAACATAACAATTGAAATAAAAGGTGCTATTTAGAAAACACTGACTTACCCTTTAAAAAATAAACAATGAAATTATGGAGTTTCCATTCTTCAAAAAAATCACAGATTTTTTTAACACAAAATAATACTTAAGAGTTAACCGAGTTATTCAGTTTCCATCTTGAAACATATCACAGCACTTCTCTGGTACATTTAAAACTCCAGATGGTGCAGCTCTGCTAAAGCTGACCTATTTTCTGCAAAGTCAAGTCCCATTCCAGTAAACTTCTGAGAGAATTTCAGTCTCCCACTATATATTTGGGTATACTGATTCAATAGCTTTGTAACCTACTTATTTGCAATTCCTTTTCCTCCCAGGTTTCCTGAACAGCTTTGAGGAGCTGCAAGCAGAGGAATGTGGTATTCTGAATGGATGTGAAAATGGCCGATGTGTAAGAGTCCAGGAGGGCTACACCTGTGACTGCTTTGATGGTTATCACCTGGACATGGCCAAAATGACCTGTGTTGGTGAGGATAGCATATCACCTGTTATATCCCCTGTTATCTCTCAGTTTACTCAGTCACTTGACCTTAGGAGGCCTCGAACAAAGGATTTAGGGATGATCACCTGAATTGTATTAAAGATCCAAGCTTTGTTTTGTTTACTGCAAAGGCTAGTAATTATTGTTACAAAAATATCTTGGTGTTTCTCAGTGCATCTTGGTCATCACAGCTGTGTTCAGTTAAAGTGCAAACACACATTTGTGGAATGAAGCTTAAACTTATATCAAGACTTCAATGTACAAACCAAATGTTTTTCAAAGGCTTTAGTAAGCTAGGAGGATGGAACTGGATCCAGAGCAGAAGAGTGATTTTAGGAGTGGATTTTTAGAGTGGATTCATAGTGATTGCCTAAATATGCATATAACCAGCTGGTGAGGTTTGGCCCCTGATTTTCATAGATTTCAACAGTCAGCACACTCAACTATTTCTCTCACTCTCAAACTAGTAAATCTGCACATTTATTAACCAAGGCATCTATATCTCCAATTAAAACAACTAAACATGGGAGCAGCAAATATCGGTGAGAAGATGAAGCAAAACAACCGCCCTTCGGTATGGAAGCCTGGTACAAACTGTGTGATTATTTCAGTTTAAGGTCTGCACTAACCTTGTTTAGCATTTTGCTTTGTGAGACACAGCTGAAATCTCCCAGCTCTATGAGGAGGAGCTGCCTATGTGCTTTGTAATCTTCAGGACTTTATGGCGAGCTGGCCTCCTTAGCAGGAAAAGATGTAGCTGCTGTGCATGTCAGGACAAAGCAGTGTGGTGTTGAGTGCAGGTAGTTTGTCCTCACAACTATTCAGGTGACAGCACCAGAAGCTCCTCAAGTATTCAGTTGGTAAAATACAAATGTTGTGCTAAGAACTTCGAGATTCTTTCTTAAAAGTTCCTTTTCAGTCATCAGATAAACACATGTAAGTGGTTACTTAATTTTGTTGTGCAGCTGGGCTGAATGTGGACTTGGTAATGTAACAGTTTAAAGCCCTTTAATACCCTATTGATTTCCTATGATAACTTCCACCTCTTTTCAGTTCATCTTTTAGAACTTTGGCCCAGCCTAATTCCACCCAATCGGAACTGAAAATAAAGTTCTCAGGGCATTGGTGCAGATTGTTCTAGTTCTAACAATGCTGGAACTAAATGAGTATTAACTACACACCAGACTTAGCACATGTGTCTTTTGATGTCTCCTTTTTGCAGATGTGAATGAGTGCAACGAGCTGAACAACAGGATGTCCCTCTGCAAGAATGCCAAATGCATTAACACGGAAGGGTCCTACAAGTGTTTGTGTCTCCCTGGGTACGTGCCTTCAGACAAGCCAAACTACTGCACACCACTGAACTCAGAGCCAGAGAGTGAACTGGAGTAGAGGAAAATCTCCATATCCTAAGCCCATATACTCTGCACTGTATAAAGAAAAGGAAGAAAAATATTTAACTTGAGAAGAGAAGGCACCAGAGTAGCAAACAAAAGGGGAGAAAAGGGTTAAAGTGTATCAAAGGTGAGACATGATGGGTTGGTTGTTTATCAGCTTCACTGAAGTGACAGACCAAATGGACACATTGCTCTGTATGAAGAAAACAAGTATATAGTGTGTTCATGAAAAAATCTTTGAAAATAATCAAAAACAGTGCTGTTATTTGAAACAGAAGAGCTTTGGTTTTTTTGTTTTTTGTTTTGTTTTGGATTTTTTTTACTATTGCTTGATAAATTTGGCATTTAAATAGTGATGGAAATATTTTATATTACTATGTCATTTTTTTGATTGTTCATTTCCTTGCCTACTGTTTCTTTTCAGACCTTTTTTCTGATCAGTACAAATTCTATGATACAGATATTCTTAGTCCATTTTATAAGAACTGTTACACAGGGTGATGCTCCTCCTTCCCTGGAACTTTGGTCAGTGACTTTTTTTTAATTTGCTAGTTGTCTGCCCTGTGGAGCAGGCACCATTTGTTTTCAAATGTTTTATATACCTTGGCGAAAAGTCCTTATATTCATTTTGTATCCTGTATGGTTGTTACTGCACTTAAAGTCTTTAGAACCTTTCTTGCCAAGTTCAAAGCTGCTAGTGGACAACATTGGATTCCTTTTGTACATTGAACCAAAAGATTTTAGCTCACATCTCTATTGTAATATGTAAATTGAACACAAGAGAGATCTTGTATGATTACCCTAACATATTAAAGCTGTATATTACAACTCAATAAAATCACCTTTTTTTAGAAAAAAAAAAAGTACTATATGCTAATTTTAGCTCCTTTCCTCCTCCCCTCCCCTTCTTTTTGTGTGTGTGTTTGTTGTACAAGAATCAGCCCTCAGGTGTTTACAACAGTTAGCCTCTCAGTACTAGATTTAATTTACATTACAATAGTCTTAGGGAGTTGTCTGGCTGGTTTTTCCTTCTCATGCTGTTTTAATAAGACCAGAACCTGAATTAGTTAATGCCTGAAGTTAGGCTTCCAGGGGGAAGATTTCAAACACAGACCTACAGAAACTGTTTGACTTGGAAGCTGATTCACATGGAATTTTTTTTTTTCTTTCCTGGTTTAGGCATGTTTCCCACTAAATCTGCAAATAACACTCCACAGTATGATGGCCTGGTTTTCAGAAATACTGAAGAGAAGGAGGAGAATTTCCTTTTCTTGATGAACTGTACCTTCCCATCAGCTCTTATTTTTCAGTGGAAGGAGAGAGAGCTTAGGAGAGTGACAGATGTTTCACTCTGACCTTCTCCAGATTGAAAGAGTGTCTTTCAGAAATCCTGAAACAGGTCCTTTTCATATTTTTCACATGAAATGTTTTGCTGTGTCTTCTAGACCTACCCTGCATTAAAAAGAGAAAGGATAACTTGAGATTTTTAAAAGTGAGTCAAATTCAGTCCAATTGTCCAAAAATTAGGTTATTTCTCATTTCACAAAAAAAAAACAAAAAAAAACCAAACAAACAAAAAAAAAACTACCACTTGTTTTTATTCAGAATAAAATTTATTTATTTTCCAATATTCGGGTCAGCCACTGAACCAAAAATATCATAAGCTCTATCCCTTTCAGTTCTGCACTACAGTAGATCTTACTAAAGTCTGTGTCAAAATGTAGTAAAGCATTCTCAATAAACCTCTGGAAAGAGGGATCTTTAGGGAAGAGATTCTTTGTGAAGTGCCAAGCTCTCTTTACTTTTCTAGAATTAGGCAGGAGAGGGTGGAGGGCCAGTTACTCTTCTAGTCAAAAAGAGGTGGATTGCAAACACTAGAGCTGGACTATAATTACACTCACAAAAATAACTCTTGCTTACCTGCTGTGGTTAAGGAAGAAGGAAGGAAGGTCTAGTCTTGTTAGTAAATGCTGTAACTAAAGAGCTCTTAGTTGTCCTACTTGAGGTTAATCCTATAATTTGAGTAAAGAGCAAGGTCACCACAGTTACAACCTTTCACTGGGTTCAGGATGAGCCCTGGGCTGCTCTCAGCCACCATGAAAATTCATGGACAAGACAATGCACTCCAGACTCTCACCTCCTCCTGCTCCAGTAACCAGCTGTGTTTATCTCTGCAAGACAGCCTAGGGCCCAAGCCACCACTGCAGCTCTCACCCCAGCCTCAGATTCTCAGCATCCCAGTACTCCATCAATTCATACCCGGGTGGCACCTGTTTGCAGGTGTAAGTGCCAGGACAGGCTGACAGATGCAGATGCATTGGTGCAACTGCTGCCAAATGTTGTCCTTGCTCTCAGCAGGGAGGATTAGTTAGGTCATTTGTTGCTAGCTGTTCATCAAAGTTCACAGACCTCAGATTGTGCTGGCCTTTTGCTCTGGTTTGCCTTACAGACATCACTGAAATTGGTCACGGCATTGAAAGCTACCAGTAGGTTCAGAGTGGTGAACTGCCTCTGGTTCCATGGATAACAAATCCCCCAGCAAACCTAAACTGTCTCTTCACCTATCAGTTTCTGCTAGCAACAATTCACAAAAAACATTTTGGTGTGTCCAGCCATCTTCCATCTCCCCTACCTAATTCAAGAGGGCAGCAGTTGACCCAAGCCCTGAATGAAGGTTGAAACATTCTGCTGGTTCAATAGCCATGTGCTCATTACAGCCACACACTTCTATCAATCACAGACACTATATAAGCAGGCAGCAGACTTTATGCGTGCTTGTGCCTTTCCCTTCCACCTCTTTGTACCTCTAATATGCCTCAAAACACACACAGGGAGCCAAAAGCAGACCAAGCAGCCTAAATCCCGCTTACATCCCAGTGCTTAGTATTCCACGTTGCCTGGCTCCAGGCCTTCAGAAATGCTTTGACAAAGGAACCACAATTGGAGGAATTAAGTGAAATTCAGCCTCTGGAGCCCACCTACTTTGCCCCAGTATAGCGAGGCTGGTTCTGTCATTTCACCTGAAAAGCTGCAGGGCTTAGGAATACAATTTTGATTCATAGTTAAACAAACATTTTCTTAACATGATTAAGACAAGGGATTGGACACCATGGGTGTAGCCATTTTAGTTGTTACAAGAACTGCGGTTTAGGTGAGAGCCTTCAAAATACAGAAACCACCACGTACAGTTCCATGATTCAAGTTTCTGAGTACAGCAGAATCTGGAACTGATTACAATTTATACCAAATGGCACCAATACTTTATATATCCATATGGATCCTCTAAAAAAAATCAGTCATTTTTCAGGCAGACATTTCCTTGCTACAAAAAATAAAATTGCTGACATGGTAGAACTGAATTTTGCTAGTTCCCTTTTAATGCTGCTGTGCTAATGAGAATGAAGTTACTATGGAACTGAAGTTACGTGCATTTCAGCTAGAAAGTTATTTGGTATGAACAGATACTTTCATGTTAAGATGCTATTCAGTGAAAAAATTAGCCAGTGTTAAAACTATCAAAGTGAACACTAACATTCTTTGGGAAAAAACTCTCACAGCTGGACAGATGGTTTGGGTCCAAGAGACAGAACTGAGAGTGATGAAAAATATTCAGCTAGTCAGTGGCAACTGACATACTCAAGTAAATTCCTGACTAAGAGAAGTCCTAGAATGCTAAAGGCACGGAAGGAGTTGTCATGACCTATTAGCTCACATTGATCATCACCCTTGTGTGGGTTGAATCTGAGTTTGGCAGGGGAGGGGCTCCTGGCTTTGGCACTTTACTGATTCCTCAAAAAAAAAAGGTAACAGACCCAATTAGAGCATGTCACAGGCCTCATCTGGGCAGCAATTAAACCACAGTGCATTCCTTCAAAGTGCATGGCAAACTCAGGAACCCCGCTGCTGCCTCTAGAAGACACTACAGTATTGTTCTTTTAACAATGCCACCCACTTTGAAGGGCAGTTTGTGCTGCTGGGGCCTCTTTTAACACCAGGCAGGCCAAAGGAGTTATTAAGGAGTCATTCAAGCAAAGAAGGGGTGAATTGCTGTGTGTAACAGAGGCTACTGCTCACTTCTGAGGCCATGACTGGTGTAGTCACTGTCCCTGGGAGTGTTTAAGGAAAGACTGGATGTGGCATTCAGTGCCGTGGTCCAGTTCACATGGTGGTGCTTGACCATGGGTTGGACTCAGTGATCTCAGAGGTCTTTTTCAAACTGATTGATTCTGTGATTATTTGGTATTTGTCTACCTTTTTCTATCAGAAGATCTGAAATTTACCGAGGGAAGCTGAACATGATGCATCCAAAAGAGAAGCAGAATAACTGAAGGAATGAGGAAAATCAGCCACTTGCTGAAGGTTTCTCAATGAGTGACAATGTCACCTTGTGAGACTAACAGAGGCTACTACAGGACTGGCCTACTGTCACTACTTTCAGCTGCAGGAATAACCTCACACAACAAAAGGACTAGAAAATCGGCATCCATGTGGGGCACCACCTCCACAGCTGGCACAGCTGTGCAAGATCTTGAATCCAAGCACCACTTCACCCCTCACCAACGTTTACCACTTCAGTGCCCGTGTGCCAACAAGGGAACATGTAATGAAACAGGATTATCCTGTGACAACCTGTATTAATAAAAGATTTTCCTACCTGTGGGGAAAGAATGACATAAACCACAGAAATGCAGGATGCCAGCTGTGTCAGGTTTCCTTCAAGACCACTGGATCACCAGATATCTATCTGGTTTTTACAGTCTTCAGGCTGCATGTTTTGTCCCACATACATCTGAGGTCTGTGCTCACTTTGCTCTTTCCTCTCTAGACTGGAGAAATTACTGCTGTGTGTCTCAAGTTTGCTCTGCCCAAGGTAGGAGATTGCAGTAGGGACCTCCTGAGGTCCCTTCCAAGCTACATTTTTCCATGAGACATGCGACCTGGCACAGCAGCCTCTGCTGCCTGTCCTTACGTGAGATAGGTAAGGGGGCAGAGGGAACTTCACCTCCTCCCCTACTTGTCCCACACCTGAGCATGTGCCAGGTGCACTTTGGAGAGAGCAGAGCACCAGCCTGCTCAGCCCACATCAGAAGAATCCCCTCCAGAAGGAGCAGCATGCACAATGTGCGCTGTTGCTTGCAATTAACCCCTGTGCTCTTGAAGAGTTAAGTGGCAACCTCAGGCAGAAGGGAAGTTCTGCAATTTTTGTCCTGATAAAAGACACAGAGGAGAGGGTATTCTTTTAGGGTATTCTTATTTTATTCACACTGACTTTCCCTTCCCCTCAAGTCATGCTTTGCCACACACTGCTTTCCATTAGCTCTGAAGTGAGGAGGATGGAGAGGATAATGCTAGCCAGCATGGAAAATTTCTACGTGACAATGTCAGCATCACCTCCAATCCCTATCTACTCAGGCTGCCAGGATCCATTCTGAGCTGCATTTTTCCAAAGCACTCCGTATTGATTTAGCTCTCCTCCCACTGAAACCTGTGGCACCTACATGGATTCCAGTGGGAGCAGGGAAAAGGCTGTGCCAAACTCTTTTGAAAAAAATCCCACCATGTGTGTCTAATGAGGAATGTCTCTGGCAGAAAAGTTTTGAGTGCAGCTAAGCAGATTTTTTGTTTCTTTCACATTAAAAGTTCAATTTCTGCCACTTCTCATCCCGGTAGTAGCTGCCCAGAAGAGTGGGTAAGACATGTTCCAAAATCCCCAGCAGGATATTGTCTGTTTTCAACTAAAACTGAAATAAACTTTACTGTTATCAGGTCAGTCCCTGTAACTTTGTGAGTGGGTACTATTCTCAGGATGTAACCCACCTGTCCTTCTTGCTGCAGGCAGCCACCTAGCTCATCTCAG